TCTTAAGAGACAGAAAATTGAGAAGTTGCTAAGACATCGTTGAACGAAGTTCATATTTTATATGCTTCAACTTCGAGAATGTTGGATTTGGGGCCCCTTAGAGTCGGGGGGAATGTGGCCAGTGCCTCAAGTGCCTCATGGTTAATCCGGCACTGTCACCACACACTGCTTGCGGTCATGTAGAAAGTCTTCTATCACGCTAGGACATTTCCCCGAATTCCGTACCCTTCCAGTTTGATTTTCAGCCTTTCGTGGGGTACACTGTCGAAAGCCTTGGCAAAATCTAGGTAAATATTGTCGATATTACCACCCCGTTCCAGAATATGGGTCCAATTACCCTGTAGTGGATTCCTCCCCTACAAACGCTGTTTGTCGCTGCCTAGCCGACCCCACGATTCCACTGGCCTGCCCTCGTGGTCTAGGTCAGCGACCAGCGCCGCCTTACATGACGGAGGTCAACTATTAAGCCACGCCTACCTCCGCTATATAAGACCTCACCTCGTGGTGACCTACCTCTTTCTACCTACAGCCACCAGCAAGCAACATCTCTCAACACCTCCTCCTTCGCTCCTGCCTCCAGCCGGCGACCATGGCGACCTACAAGCTGGTCCTCCTCTGGGCACCCTCACCAACCAGCTCTCTCTACATCACGCTTGTAACCATGCTGCCTACCCAGCACCAAGCTGCATTGCACATCCAATACAACATGTATACAGAGAGCACATTGTGAGTTTCCTTTCTCCATCCCATCCTGAGTGTGAACCAACATCTCATAACCCAACAACCCAATAACTTGAGCAATTGTGTTAAGCAGGAGCGCCCCTGCATAAAACCGTGTTGGCAATCCTTTACAAGGTTGTTTCGTATTAGATGTTCCATTGCGGCATCTCTGATAATACTCTCAAGTACCTTACATATTATGCTGGTCAGGCTCACCGGTCTATAGTTGTTCGTGGAGTGACGATCGCCATTCTTGAAGATAGGACTCACATAAGCCATTTTCCAATCACTGGGGACCTTTTGTTCATCCTGGCATTTACAGAACAGGATCTTCAGGGGCTCGGCAAGCTCGTTGCACAACTCTCTTAGCACTCTAGGATGCACCATGTCAGGGCCGGGACTTTTATGAACCTTTAGCTTTGACAGTTTATTTCTAATACCCTCTTCTGTGAACACAATGTGTGTCAGTGCTGTGTCGAACCGTCTGTCCTCAAATGCAGGAAGGTTAATTGCATCCTCTCCTGTGAACACCGAGGAAAAGAAGCTGTTCAATGCCTCAGCTTTATCCTGGTCAGAATCTGCGTAACTACCATCTTCAAGCCTCAGGTCTGATACTCCTACTCGCATTTTTAATTTCGACTTTGCATAGCGGTAAAACGTCTTTGGGTTTGACCTGACCTCGCTTGCAACCAGCCTCTGGAACTCATTTTCAGCCCTTCCACATTCCATCTTTGCTTGGTTTCTGGCTCTTACATACATCCTCCTTCTTGCTCATCATTTGACCAAACCCACGTCTTGAATATCTGGGTTTTCTTCTTAACCTTGTCGACCGCCGCATGGTTCATGTGTAGGGATCCCCTCATATTCCTAAAGGCACTGGGTTTGGTCTTGGGTATACATTTATTGATCAAATGGGTCACTTTATTAGTTATGATATTGAGCGTAGTGTCTGTGTTCTTGTGCCTTAATGAGTTAGGCCAGTGGATACCCTTCATCTCTTCCCTCATCCCATCGCATTTTCCCTTGTAATATTTGCATCTTGGCCTGGCCTTATCCTGAACTTGGTAACAGTTAAATCTGAATGACAACATGATATGGTGACTGGTGCCAACTGGGGCAAGTTGGCACTAGTTGGCACTAAGACGAACTTGATGATCTGATGTAATCTCTGTCCAATTTCTGCAGCTCAACAACGAAGGCCCGAATGCCGAACACGCTTTGTTACAGACACGACCCGACCCGACCCGCGCCTGGCGCCCTTCATCACACAACATTTGCTTTTGTGTTATTTCAGATATGTAGTGAAATGAGTCAAGTAAAGCTTGGATGTAGCAACCAAATGTTTTATTTACCACAATAATCTATACTAAACGTAAGGTCACGTGACTTTTATTTGTTAAATAACTACAACACAGTACATTATCATTCGTTATGCGTTTTATTGAAATAAAATAAACTGCTATGTCAATAGCCAATAGATTAGTGCGCAACCTAGCCATACTAATCTGAAGTGAACAGGTCATTTCCACAATGGTATATTATACAAGTTTATCCTGATGTAATTTGTCGTAAAGTATAATTACATGAGTATGAGCTTTCGTTCTCTCTCGGCCTCACTTCCCAGAGAAAACGAAAGCTTGTATGTTACTTTATCCTCTTCACGGACCTTTTATATCTCTTCACCACTGATAGACTCGTTAGCCGCTTGAGCGGTCGGTCACGTTTCTATTACGCACTGTTAGCAAGTACTGGGCATGCACTGTGTTCTATATTACTGAACAAATAATTGTTTAAAGGAATAGTTTATATTATTACAGCAACAACTGTATTTATTTAGTTTAAATGTTGATTATTTATATGTAGACTCTGTAGGGAGGTGGATTTTTATGGAGACTCACTGTAATCGAGAGCAGGAACTAGACATGGGATTTAGACGACTGTGCCTCAATCTCTCCTACATAAATAGCCTTAAGAAATGAAGACACCACAGAATATGGCGACGAAGATGGGATCGCTTTGCACAGTAATATATAACACACTGGCTCCTGAAAGTATCTGTACCTCCTTCAGGCAGTGTTGATTAAGTCTGATCTTGAAAGAGCTGACATTCGGTGCCGTCACAACACTGGTAGATTATTCCAAGAGTTGACAATGGACTAGTTGACGGCTCTGGGTAAACACAAGAAATACACTGTCATGTTAGGTAGAATGATACGATTTATATAAGTTGTAATAAAAGTTTAGAGTCACTAGTTTCAAACTCACCGCTGCAGTCGGAGGTAGTAGAAAGAATGGCCTCTTCAGACCCAAAATGCCACGTTCAGATAAGTTTTAAGTGTGGTTTTTGTTGCAGGGTCTCAATTGTTTCTCTTACCACTGACAACACAACATACATATATTGTTTCTCACTTTTAATCTTTTTTTATGGTTCTTTATTATTATTATTATTATTATTAGTAGTAGTAGTAGTATTTTTATTATTATTATTATTATTATTATTATTATTATTATTATTATTATCATTATTATTAATATTATTATTATTATTATTATTATTATTATTATTATTATTATTACAGTATATTTTTCGCCCCCCAGGCCCCGATGTAGGTCAGTGACCTGTGCCCGGGTGGGCTAATCCCTGTAAAAAAAAAAATAATAAAAAAAAAGGTCTCTGGAACTTGGCCATATCATTCCTCTACGCCGCATTTTTAGTAAATAATTAACTGTAGGCCCCTGCCTATATGTCTGTTCTGGCCCGCAATGTCACTACTATGGCTAATTTATAATAAAAGACACAATTTGATCGTGATTTTTTTTTTCAAATAATAAGTTCAGACAAAATGAGGACGATTTTCACCTGTGACACTTTTAATGTATTTCACCCATAACCGAGATATGGAGAGTTGAAAATCAGAAGACTTGGCACTCAGATACAGACCCGAGGTAATTTTTACAGATTTGAAATAGGAACAAGTTAGTGAGGTTGGTTCTAATGCACTGCTTGAATGACTCCAGCTAACTTTTATTCGATAGAGTTGGGCAAATAACGCGTGAAAAATGATTAATTTATTTGATTTTATTTTGAATTTAGTTAAGAATTAGATTAGGTTAAGTTAGATTAGGTTCCTGTATTAATTCAAAATAACTTATATTGAGTTAGGTTAGTTTAAAAATAGTTATGAAAAATTTTTAAATTAAATTATTTGACATTGAATTTAGTTAAGGAATAGGTTATGTTAGGTCAGGTTTAGTGTAGGTAAAAAATATATTATTGTTTGCATTTCCCCAAATTTATTTAATATGTAGTACAGTACATTCATCTTTATTAGTCTAATTGGAGGACCTGAAGATTAGACACCCCAGCTTATTTCACCTGATTATTAAACATCTTAACGCGACCTGACTGGTTAGATTATATTAGTTTAGGAAAGCTTTAGTAAGGTTAAAGCTAAGTTAGGTTAAGTTAGGTCAATGAGGTAAGGTTTTATTAGGTTAACTTCTTTAATCATCATGTGAAATAAGCTGGGGTATCTCTTCGGTGAAATAAGGTACAGCACTGGGATCCACAATATTCGGTGAAATAAGCTGGGTGGCTAATCTTCAGATAAAATAAGCTGGGGTGGCTAATCTTCAGATGAAATAATCTGGGGTGGCTAATCTTCAGATGAAATAATCTGGGGTGGCTAATCTTCAGATAAAATAAGCTGGGTGGCTAATCTTCAGGTGATTGTATTTATTTTGGCTAGCATTAAAATTGAAGAGTGAAATTACGGAGAAATCATCATTAGTACTAAACCAACTACTTATAATGTAATTCTCGGTCACTCTAAATGCTAAAAATTCTTCATTGATATTATAATTAAACAAGGTAAGGCAAATTAGATGAAGAAATAGTTAAATAAAGTTAATATCATGGCAGAGAACTATAATTGATACAGGATCAGGTTAAATTGATTATCCATAACCTTTACTTTAGATTCCTAATATATCTAGCTTATGTAAAATTATAGATAGTATTTTTATTAGTCTATAAGTATGAATGAGAGAAAAAAATAAAAATATGATGAAATAAGCACTATGGCAGGTGACGTGTTGATTCACAATGAGGTTTATTATAAATACATAACACACAACGTATCTCATAATTCCATGTGTTTATAGATTATATTTAAATATCATTGGTAATCTAATTAATCCACATAAGGAAGGTAATATAGGAAAAATAAATAATGATTAAATACGACCAATATGGCAGTAGACAGAGGACCAATGAGGAGCCGCCACACCAAGTCATGTTATGGTAGCGGCTTGTGTGACCTGGACCCCGGCTACTACACTAACCCACGTTTTAGTTATATCCACGTCAACTATCACTCGCCTGGTACTGTGACTTGACCTGGAGGACCTGGAACATCACCACCACATATAGGATAGGTGATTATTACTTTTAAATTAAGGATAGTGAGAGTAATGATGTTTTTATTAGGTGACAGATTTCATTCTAGTAAATCAGCTGTTCAGTTTTAAGAGGAAGATTATTATTTTAATTACTGTTATCACCGCCATTTACATCATTCTCGGATTTATGTATGGGGAATTTGTAGATTGAGGACATTTTTGCATAATATACAGTAAAGGTTTTGTTAAGCTCTTGCAACGAGAACAAATCCGGGTAATCTTGAGGACCCTATTGGAAGTACTGTAAGCTTTTAATGTTCAGTTTATCTCTTGGTTTATTTTACGTCTCAGATAAGCTTATATCTATTGTTTAAACAAATCTATTTAAGCTTATATTGTTTAAGCTTATATCTATTTAAGCTTATATATATTGTTTAAGCTTATATCTATTGTTTAAGGTTATATATATTAAGGTAATATCTATTGTTTAAGCTTATATCTATTGTTTAAGCTTACATCTCTTGGTTAGATTAATGGCCCAGGTTGTACTGTAGGTACAGCAGCTGTATGTAAAATATCTGTCTAAGGGTATAGCAGCCTAATGCTCATAGGTGGTAGGCAGACTATACAATGTTAGTTACCGAGCCCGTTCCGACATAACCTAACCTAACCAGTGTGAATTTGTGTGTTACCTAAGGATTTTCTGTAATATTACTTGGGGTAAAAACATATTTTGGCATTGTCACTTTACTAGAATAATTACAGCAGTTTATTCTCCATTTACTAGTACAGTACCTTTTGGGGAAATAATAACATAAGAAAATAAGGAGTCTGCAATAGGCCGGTTGGCCTGTGCATGGCAGCTCCTGTTGAGAGTTACTACCACTCTATCATCCATGAATTTATCCAGCCTCCCTTTGAAACTTTCCAGCATTCCAGCACTTACTACAAAGTTGCTAAGCTTGTTCCACTCGTCCACCACCCTATTTGTAAACCAGTTCCTTCCTATCTCCCTCCTAAACCTAAACTTATCCAACTTGAATCCGTTGCTCCGAATTCCTATCCTGCTCGGATATTATAAGAACTTTATCTATATCCCTGTAGGGGTATCGAGATATTAATGTCGTCTAGCACTCAGGATGGAAGGAAAATCTAATGTGGTTTTCTTGTATAATATATAAATTATATGATAGACAGTCTGGTGCTGGAGGTGCTGTGTGGTGAGGGGCTGCTTGATAGAGACGTGCGGTGAGTAGCGTGTTGAAGGAGGTAGATGTGGAGGAGCTTCGTTAGAGAAGATGTTGCCTGTTGCTGGCCTCCTGGTTGAATGAAATGTTAACAGCGTGGAGCTTGCTGGAGGAGATGTTGCTTGTTCAGGAAAATGGGCAGAATGAGAGTTGGTTGGTGAGGAAGCTCAGAGAAGGACATGCTCGCTGGCGGGAGCGAGGACCGCCAGGCAGGCGGAGGAGAGGCGAGGGTCGCCAGGCAGCGGCAGAGGAGGAAGTGTTGCTTGTTCAAGAAGATTGGTCAGACTGAATCTCAAGGGAGAGACAGAGCTTATATACCCCGCAGCAGCCGCCATGAGTCATGGTGGGAAAACCCGAGAAGTAGCCGGTGAATAGTTTCGTTGCTAAGATACGGTAACATCTGGTTGGTTGCTAGGGAAGGTGGCACATTGGAATGCGATAGCAGGTGGTGAGCTGCTACGCAGTTGTAGGGGAGAAGTCCACTACATCCCCTTTATTGATTTCTTTCACCCACTTAAATACTTCTATCATATCTCCCCGCACTCTTCGTCTTTCTAGGGAATGCAAGTTTAGTTTCTTTAACCTATCCTGATATGGAAGGTTTCTAAGTCCCGGAATCATTTTCGTCATTCTTCGCTGCACCGACTCTAGTGAATTTATATCCATTCTATAATAGGGGCACCAGAACTGAACCGCATAATCGAGGTGTGGCCTGACTAGCGCAAGATATAGTTGAAATAAGACCTCTGCACTCTTATCACTTACACTTCTAGATATAAAACCCAATACTCTGTTTGCCTTATTTCGAACATTAACGCACTGTTTTCTAGGCCGTAGGTCCGGGCTTACAAGTACCCCTAGGTCTCTTTCACAAGTCGACTTCTCTAGGTTGATGTTGTTAAGGCTGTATATATTGACAGTATTTGTTCTTCCAATATTAAGTACACTGCACTTGCTGGTGTTGAATTTCATTTGCCATTTTTCAGACCACCCCTGCAGTTTATTTAGATCCTCCTTTAATGCATTTGCATTCTGCCCTGAATTAATCTGCCGCCCTATTTTGGTGTCATCCGCAAACTTGCTTATGTCACTGCTGATCCCAGTATCGAGATCGTTTATGTAGATTATGAACAAGAGTGGGCCTAGTACTGACCCCTGGGGAACCCCACTGGTTACATGACCCCACTCGGATTTAACACCATCTACGCTGACCCTCTTTGTTCTATCGGTGAGCCATGATTTTATCCAATTTAAAACTTTCCCCTCGATACCATGAGCCTTAATTTTTCTCAGAAGCCTCTGATGCGGTACTCTGTCAAATGCTTTGCTAAAGTATAAGTAAATAACATCGTAATTTTCGTCATTCTCTACTACCTCGAAGACTTTCCTAAAAAATGTCAGCAGATTTGTGAGACAAGATTTTCCATTTGTAAACCCATGTTGAGAGTCATAGATTAATTTGCTTTTCTCTAAATGCGATCGGATGTTATCTGCTATAATTGATTCAAGAAATTTCCCCACTACTGACGTCAAACTGATCGGCCGGTAATTTGACGCTGATGCTCTCTCCCTTTTTGAATATGGGTACTACATTTGCCTGTTTCCACAAGTCTGGCATAACTCCGGTGTCTAATGATTTTGTAAATAAGTTTACGAGGGGTCCGCTAATCTGTTCCCTACACTCTTTCAAGACTCGAGGGAAAATTTCATCCGGCCCTGGGGATTTTGTCTTCTTTAGTTTATTTATCTTCTTAAGAACATCCTCTTTTCTGATAGTGATATTCTTTAATTTCTCTTCTTCCTTTCCCTTAAATATTTCTCTGTGATCACTGTCACTTAGTTCTTCCCCTACTGTGATACCTCTGATAATATTTTCTTTATTTGTTAATACTATGTCTAATATATTGTCACCTCTAGTAGGTTCTGTAATTAGTTGTTTCAAAAAATTGTCCTGTACTGCGTCTAGGAAGTCTTAAGATTTATAGTCACCTACAATGTTGTCCCAGTCAATATTTCTGAAGTTGAAATCCCCCATAATGCACAGGTTGTTATATTTTGCTGCCCTACTCATTTCCTGCCATATGGGCTGAGCTGCTTCCTTCCCAAGACTTGGGGGCCTGTAAATCACTCCCATAATTAGTTTTTCTCTTCCTTCCGTGATTTCTACCCATACAGACTCGGTTCCTATTTCACCCTTTATTGATTATTAATACAACATTTTAATGTATCCTTGACGAAGAGTGCGACCCCTCCCCCCTTCCTACCTTCCCTGTCCTTGTGAAAAAGGTTGTACCCTTCTATGTGGTAAAATTTTTTGCCTCGAGAAGAAACAGAATTATTTTCAAGAAGTAAATTGTGTTAATTTTTTCCCCCTGTACTGAATGCTAATGGACGTCTACCCACAACACCCACTGGTTCCATTTTGTTGTTTGGATGTGAATGTACCCAGTTATTGAGTTATAGTATATACCCCTCAATGCTTCCAATGACCGTTCCAAATTTATGGAGCTACAGTACAAGAGGTGTATGTGTGCAATTTTCTGGCTAAAATGAGCGAACTCACTAAACATCTGCTCCTTTAGCTACATCTGTTAGGTAAGGTCTGGTAGGTTAGGTTAGTTCATCTCATCTCCTATAAGTCGTATAGTAATGTGACAGTCACTGGAAGTATTGCTGTGTATGAAACGGTCGCTGAAAATCCTTCTATAAATAATTGTCAGCAGAACATTGCCAATGGGTGTAGATTTCCTGGAGGATAAAACAATTGCAGAGTAGAAATAAAATCTTTAATTCCCATAAGTACAGTGACTTATGGGTATTAGGGAGAAGTTTGCTCATAATTTGGATTTTATTTTAGTTCAGCCATCCGGGGAATCATAGGAATTTAACTATTGGTATCGGTAGTTTAGACAATTCTAAGACACTTCTTCTATAACATTTCCTTCGCAAATGACCTGACCTAATCTTCTGACCTTGGGGGCTCTGGCATATGCAAGTCTTTTGCAAGGGAAATGTCAAAGAAGTGTCTTAGAATTGTCTAAACTACCGATACCAATAGTTAAATTCCTAAGATTCCCCGGATGGCCAAAATTAAACGTTACCATAATTTGTATGTGGGATGATCAGAGTAATAATTATTCAGTAATGCTATACTGTATAGTCATAAAAGTTTGCAATTACAGTAGTTTGGTATAGTAAGACTTGTCTAATTGTGAACCATATGAGGCTTGAAGCTTACACTTATCTAGAATTCTGATTTGTGCGTAACCCCCCCCCCCCTTGCTCCCCAGGTGGTTTCAACCAACATTTTGCTGAAAATTCCCGTCCAAAAACAAAAGTAAAGTTAGCAGTATACTTTAACACTGTACTGCACTTTTTGTGATAGATGAATCTTGTGATGGAGGAAAATGGGGACTGCTTACACTTAAATTTAATTACACTTTGTTTAGTAACATGTTTAGTAGGTAATGTAGGTAGTGTACTTAAATCTAGCTGATGCTGTACACGTACTCAACTTCAACCCAGATAGTGTTCATGGAGACCCCAGCATCAGTTGTTACATATCGGTTTTTCGTCAGTTGGTAGTTCTGAGCGCCGTTCCTTTTCCTGAAAACTTAATGTTAAGCAAAATTATAGCTAAACAGAGAAGCACGGAGGGTGAGCAGGAGATTCAAACAACAAAGTCGTAAACACCGAGTACAGTATTCCTGCCTTTAAATGAGTTTTGCAGCTAAAAGATTGATTTATTAACACAAAAAAATTATGTAAATGATGTAGCTCAGAGTTGAAAAATTTGATGGGTGCAAGGGCAGCCTAATTCACACAAATTTCAAATTGCATACATCAAAAATGAAAAAAGTTGCTATGATAAACAATAAAATTGATACATAGCGTATCCTAAAATAGAACTGCATATTTTTTGTGCAAAATAGCTCTTTCCATACTTGAGCCATCCTCTGGGTGACATTACTCAGTTCAACCAGGCAGTCATCCAGCTGACTCCGAGACGTGTGTCTGCTGCTCTGTGTATGCCAAGGTGTAGCATCAGGGAGGAAGCTGGTGTGGTGAGTGGCAACAACAGCCCACTGCCTCCACCCCTATGTTCACGTCATATTTTAAAGTGTTATGTATTTTTTTCTAAAGCACATCAGAGTATTATAATGATTTTTCAACGTTATATACAGCTTAATAACAATGATGTGTTGCTATTTCACAGGCCACCGCTCCACCTCATCGTGAAACTGAATTTTGACTAACGTTAAGTGAGTGTGTAAAAAATTGATATCGCATAAATGAATTAACGTTAATGAATTGATGCTAAAAGACATAGATTTTGCAGTTATACGATTTTATTTGTACACAGCATACTGTACCTAACAGGTGTACTAGTACAACAATGGTAAACAGTAAGGCAATTTGACCAAGGATAGCCAATAAAGCCATCAGATGCCTATTTCCTGTATGGTTCTCTGCTCAGGCTTGTTTACTTATCAGTAATGATATATCTATGGGAATAATTGATAATTTCTCAAGAAATATGTATAACAAATGCTTCATTGTGCTTGGACTGTCTGAGGCTGACGGATCACTTCAACAATACTGTACAGTACAACATTCTGTGGTTAATGATATAGAAATTCTCTCTCCTGTTGCTGTAGTTTCATCTGTCATGTAGAATTTAGTTTTAGCTCTGAAGTGTTTGTCAAGTTTTGATGTGGACGGGTAACTTGTTCAAGACCTTTGTAGCTGTAGGGAAGAAAGCGTTATTTTGCTTGTCTGCGAATCTTTTTTGTTCCATATTTTTGGGAATGTTTACAGTATACTGGACCTTATTTAAAATGTCATGCCACCATAATCACCCCTGACACCCCTGTAATCACCCCTGACACCACTACCACCCCCAACACATTAAGAAAAAACACAGCGCTGGTAATATAACTAATGTATATACAGTACCGAAACAATAGTTCCACTGGTTGGTGTTTTAGGTACGGTTGCCAGCAAAAGTTTTCCCCACTTCTATGGGAGAACTTTTGCTGGCAACTGTACATAAAGGTATTTCCCCTTGTAAGGTTTAAGTGCATTGATAATAAAAGAACCAGGGGTTAAAAAAGAACAGATACCTGTAACTGATTGAGTGTTTGTCTCGCTCAGGGACCAGGGAGGAATGGGAGTAGTTTTTCCCATTTTAAGACTTGCGGTCTTTAAATTGAAGGAATTGTTTCACTACAATATTAGAATGATGTTATCCTAAAAGGTATTACATGAATTTTTAGCTTTATTGTTGTACTGTACAGTGAAACCTCAATATAATGAACTTCTCTCTCCATCTTGTCCGTGAGATGGGGGGAGGCAGCTCTCATCTAATAGATCTTCAATATAATGGACTTTCATCTCCTTATTATTCATTAGTTGGTTTCACATTTGATGAACCCTCGATATAATGGACTATCCTCTCCATATAGTCCATTAAATAGAAGTTATACTGTATTGTACCAATTAATCGGCAGAGAAAATGTTGACAGTTTCCTGCACTAACTATACCATGTCTCCTCCCTTAGATATACAATGGCGCTGACTGGAGTGTGGTGGCGGGCGGGGTTATCCCTCATAGCCCTCCTGGCTCTGGTGGGGGGATGTAGTGCCGTCACCATCATGAGTATAGACTTTGGCTCCGAGTGGATGAAAGTAGCTGTGGTTGCTGTAAGTATCTTTGGTTTTATTTGTGCCATAGTCACTGTGCGTCGAAATTTATGCCATCGTTGTCGTAAAGTGATGATAAATTGTCATTGTGGTTCGAGTCTGGATGCAACTTGGTGTTGTTGGGAAAGTTACTGTAGACGACAACTAAATATCATAACTCGCACTTAATATAGCTACCACACATGTTTTTTAATTGATAAACCTGATCTTTCTTCAGTCATGTAGGTGGGTTCAGTGTAGTATTTAATTAACCCATCTTACAGCCAGGAGTGCCAATGGAAATAGCCCTCAATCGGGAATCCAAGAGAAAGACGCCACTGGCCATTGCGTTCCGGAATGGCGAACGGACATTTGGAGAGGATGCGTTGACCAATGGCATTCGCTTTCCCCATACCAATTTCTTCTACTTGCTTGACCTATTGGGGAAGAAAGTGGACAACCCCATTGTGAAGTTGTACCAGTCTAGGTTCCCCTTCTACAATATTGAGGCCGATCCTGGCAGGGACACTGTGGTCTTCAGATACGACGAGTTAGTACAGTACCTTCACTCCTGTTTAGTTTTGGTGACTAGAGGATCACCTGAGGATTTGCCCCCCTCAGCTTATTTCAGCTTAATGATTAACCACCTTAATACTAACCTAACCACCTTTTAATGGTATCCTAACCAAACTGAAAATAATCTAACCTAAACTACACAGGTTGCATTAGGGTGTTTAATCATTGAGTTAAATAAGCTGGGGAAGGGGACTAATTTTCAGGTGATGACAAAAAGTAAGTGTGTGTGTGTGTGTGAGAGAGATCGAATCCAGGAAAAAAGTCGCAAGAAAGTCAGAAAAAAAGGCACGGAAAAAACTTAACCTAACCTAACCTACGTGGAATGCCATCATATATTGTGTTGTCAATGTGTACAAATCATGTGACTTTTTATCCTGTGACTTTATTTCCGTTCACCGTGGAATCTGTACAGTAGAGTACAGTAGATGATCAGGTTACTGTGTTCTAGCTTTTGACCTCCAGTATCCAGCAAGCCTACACCTCTTAAGCAATGCATTTCTTTACGTGTGTTTCCGATTGATTACTGTATATGTAATCATAGTGTATATAGCTCTTTGTGTTCTCGTTTACAGTGTAGGGATCCACTTAGGAAAGAAGGTGTTGCTTGTGTGTGGTAGAGGGAAACCAAATGTGACTCTCTTCCTTGACCATCTCTGCCGTGCTATATGGAATCTCTGTTTTACTAATTTCTTCTCTGATCCTAAGCTCTTGATTATAAGGGTTCCATTCCTGTAAGCCATTTGTAAATCGAAAGATGCCTGTACACTGTATGATATGTAGTTAAAAAGACTACAGTACATGATTCCAAGATGGTAAATACAGGCATCAACTGGTTTACTAAAGATCAACCTCCAAATGGTTTTCTGTAATGGAATTCTTAGGTAAGTCGAGGGACACGTGTATTTCACTAGTTAATAATATACTGTATATATACGGTACATTACACAGGGACACGACTTACACGGTGGAGGAGCTTGTGGCCCAGCTGTTGGAATATGCCCGGGATATTGCCGTGGCTCACACTGACCAGAGAATTAAGGACTGTGTTATCACCGTCCCAGCTTTCTTTAACCAGGCTGAACGCAGAGCTCTACTGACAGCAGCTGACCTGGCAGGGCTTAAGGCAAGTGTGTGAAATTGTTTTATATATGCAGTTAAAAAGGTGACTACTCTACTGTAACAATTAATCATGTGTACAATTTAGTTAGTTCTTATATTGGTGGGTTTATTTTGCTGCCTTTGTGTTTAGTTTAGTATTAATATTGTTGTCTGAAGGTACAGTACTGTCTGCATGAGTGAAGAGTTGTAGTTAGGACATTGAGACACATTATTACTCTTGCTGATTCTTTACTATAGTTTGCCAGGTGATTTTACCCCCACTACATTATATTTAAGTATTGTACTGTAATGTAAAGATAGTCATTATAATCAACTGTTAGTGAAGTGAAGCATTGATGTAGATTTAAAATTAGCTTAGGTACAAAATAGTGACCTGTATGTGGACACTTTCAAGTTATATAAAATTCAAGGGACAAAGTGCAAACTTTTCAACTTGCTTTCATGAGGCCGTTCACCATTGGCAGTTAGGAGCGCTGTCTCGATCATTTCCTGTCTTCTGGGACCTTGGCTTTTCTTGGGGGGTGACTTTTGGCTGTTTATAGCGTGTCTCCTGGCATTGTTAGTTTAAGCTAAAAGCATCCAGATGGAAATATGGAAATAATTGTACAGTACTCTCCGCCACTACCACGAGTCCTGACGTTCTCACTCACTGATAGGTACAATCAACCAAAGATGCACTGACCCCACCCTGGGTCTCTTACTCACAATTTTACCTGGCAAAACCTTGCAAAATAAGGCTGTATGTAATAGTGATTGTGATTGGTGTATCTATTTTTTGGCTGTATCACCGTCAGGATAAATATTAAACAAACCAAAGGTAACATTCTTATAATAAACTATTCATCATTATTCTAGATCAAGAGAAGTTTCCAAATGTTTGTATATTTACTTAAATAATGAAGGAAATTGGATGAGAATCTTGTGGCAGCTGTTGTTGTTGCCAATTCATTACATACTGTACAGCCTTACTTTACTAAGTATTGCCAGGTAAAATTGTGAGTAAGACACCCAGGATGGGGTCAGTGCATCTTTGGTTGACTGTACATAAAATTTGGGCCATAAGGAGAGGGCTGGAGGAGGGTCTGTGTGGTGACTAGGGGAGAGGAGCGGTGATCGGCAGTAAGGAACCACTTTGGAATGCTAAATGTTAGAGGTTCATTAATGACATGTACATAGAGGTACATGAATCCTGAGGAGTGTTTGTTGTGGGCGAGACACTGGTCAGACTGTGACGTGAGCAGTGTGTTAGAAGGTCTGTGTCTCCCTCCAATAATTAAAAATACAGCTCTTTACCCTTTTCTACTTAAAGTAAATATTGGAAAGGACCACAGTAAATGTTGGAAGTGGATACCATGCCCAGTATTACTGTATGTAGAAGGTATAGGACAAGGAACAACTTGCATGGCCACAGGCACTTTTCCTAACACCTGTACAGTAAAGCCTCGAATAACGCCGGTAATGTGTCCTCCAATATTGCAGTGTAAGGTGAATCATCGTATCGTGAATCATTAATTACCATTAAAATAAAGCAATAATAATGGGATGCGTTCCCCAGTGTGAACTTTTCATATCTTTTGTGTGGCTTTTTACCATCTTTTCCCCCAAAACAATACAATTAATGAAAATTGCAAACTATATTCTTTAAATGCTGTTTCTGAATGCACCTTATACAATATAATGAATAATGATATGGTCACACAAGAGGAGATGGGACGGTATTGTTTTCAGTGTTTACACCCGTAATGTCTGTTATCCACCTGAAACTGAATAACATAAGACCCTTGTTGTTGCTGTGGTAAAATTAATGTAAAAAAAATTTTGTTTTAATTATCTTTATTTAATGTACAGTAAAACTAACTGCTGATGTTAAAGAAAAAAGAGTGATAGTGGAACACCAACGTATATTTGCGCACTCAAGGAAAGTCATTTATCTTTTTAAGAATATGTACAAAAGATTCATTATTGTTTATTACTGAATATGTATTTGATTGAATTAATCTTTATATATGCGAAATGAACAATACAATTCATTAATGTAAAATGTAATCCAGGTGTATATGTTTTAAGCAATGTTATTAATGGTAATAAATGGAACAATGGAAGCAGCTAGGTAACCATTAATGGTAAAGAAAAATAGCGAGACTGATTAGGAACTCCAATTTTTCTAAGTGCGTAAATGTGGAAACAGTCATTTCTCTACATAAGAATATGAAAGTGCCACTTAGTACTGCTCATATACGTTTTAAATAACACTAATGAATGTAAAACAAATATTCTACTCACCAATGGTGGTAAAATCTAAAACATTTGGACAGCCAATGTTGTGAGTTTATACTCGGGTGATGAAGTCATCAGGTTCAACTCTGGCTGAAGCTGTAGCTTTCCATAAAGCTGTTGCTGAAACTGTTACTGAACCTGAAGTTGATGTTGAAGCTGCTTATGATGCTGAAGTTGATGTACAGTAGTTTAGTTGATGGTTTAGGCCTTCGAATAATAAAGCTGTCAAAAGAACCTTGCACAGCTGCTTACTTTTCTCATTATACATCTTTATGTAAAGGTCATTTGTGTTTGTTTAAATTTTAATGCATTGTTCTGATAACCCTTAGGCCCTGGGTGAAGTTCCAGATCGTCCGCCTATTTTTCCGCCATGTTTATTTTTTTTTCACGATTTAACCCTGCGGGGGGTGAGGGGGGATATGTTCATTGCTTGCTCCATATAATATCCACAGGCCTCACACCTTTTTCATATCGTTTTAACACCTCTAGTTTCTCTGCTAAGCTTAGACACTTTCTATTAGCTTTTGAAACAACACTACCATCACTTGCTCTCTTGCTCTTGTTGAATAGGGATGCAAAAATGCTGTAAGAAACCTGAGAAAGTTTTTCTCCTTTTCTGTTCAGATGCGTGAAAACAAAAGGCCCGCCAGCTGCTACTGTTTATACCAGTGATGCTGGCGTCACCACTCACAAGCCCGGCAGCCTCCGTGCACAAAGAGTGTTTATTTTATTTGTTTAATACATGTCGGGATTTAGTTATTATTTATATGAAAATATAATTTTATTTTACTTTTTATTCTATTTTCTTCATAAATAAAAAGAAAATAATGGTGTAAATTGAATTGGGTCGTAAGTTAACCAGGGTCTTAAATATGAATCATCGTTAGTAGAACCGTCGTTATGGGAGGCTTTCCTGGACAGTTTGAGGAAAAGGTTTGTATAGGAATGAAGGTTACTGTAGCAAGCATATAGTAGATGGTGAAGGGGAGGAAGGTATTATAAAAGGAAAGCAAAAGTGTGTAGAAAGATTTTCTGGTACTGAGGAAGACTTTTAAGTATACAGAATAATGATTAAATATTTCCTTGAAAGAAAATAAGCAAAATATATAAGTAATGTTTGTCTTGGCCCACCATCACAGGTTCTGTCTTTGATGTCGAGTAATGCCGCGGTGGCACTCGACTACGGCATGTTCCGCCGGAAGGAAATCAATGGTACGGCGCAGAACATCCTCTTCTACGACATGGGGGCTTCGTCTACCTCGGCCACGATCGTGTCCTACCAGACCATCAAGACCAAGGAAAAAGGATACTCGGAGACCAACCCACAAGTCACTGTCCTGGGTCTAGGGTAAGTGGTCTGGTCGTGTACTGGCTCGAGTTGTTGGGTTCTTCATCAAAATGCCATTTCATAAACCTTATATTGTTCCTAATGCATGGTAAGTAAACTATACTAAATGATATGTAACTTATCAGATAAAAAATGGATCCAATTGCATTTATCTTAGTACAGTTCAGCACAAGACTAAGGCGGCATTATTTCAGCGCTACTGTACATGTATTGTGCTTCCTTTCTTTCTCTATAAAGTGTTAACACCCCAAGACTAATGCCTCCCCTGGTGTTTCACAGCCAACCTTACATCTCTTAGTTAAGATTTATTTTCATTTGAAGACTTAAAAACACTTTAACAGTTATGACCGCTCTCTGGGAGGATTGGAAATGCAGCTGCGTTTAAGAGATTATCTAGCCAAGAAGTTCAACGAGGTCAAGAAGACGACCAATGACGTGTTCAAGTCTCCCCGTGGGATGGCCAAGTTGCTGAAGGAGTCTGGGCGACTGGCCAAGGTCCTCTCTGCTAACTCTGACCATCTGAGTCAGGTGAGGAATTAACCTTATTGGAAATACTGTTTGTTTTACAAATATCAAACCTATTGACAAATATATATTCTTTACGAACAGTTGTAACTTTCTCGAGACTTTCCATATTATTTGTACTCAAAGATTACCGAGGCAGAGTATTTGTGGATCGTATATGCATATTGGTACGTCTGTGTTTATGTACATAAATAGATGGGTTTTTTCTGTCTGCAGGTGGAAGGAGTTTTGGATGAAGAAGACTTCAAATTGATGGTGACGAGGGAAGATTTCGAGGGACTATGTGCTGATGTGTTTGAGCGTGTCCGCGCTCCTGTTGATGGGGCTCTCATATCTGCCGGCATGGATATCTCTGCTATTGATCAGGTAGGTAGTGAAAACAGGAGCCATGTCCTGTGATCTGATAGCGTGCAGATAAAATGTGGTTTGTGATTCACTCGCTCGTCTCTGGATATTATTTCCTTGGTAAATTTCATTTGTGAATTTCCAGGTAATTTGTTTCCATGTTAAGTGTAGAAGTAGAATGCAAATTTTAACATACTAGCCAGGGTGGATGAATCAAGCAGCTCATCTGTTCAATTTTGTCTTGCTGTTTTATATAGGGTTGGATATTTTAAGTTTGTTTGCCAGATTTAATGGTTTTGAATAATTAGGATTTTTTCTTTAGATAACTTTGAGACAAGGAAAAGGAGCCGTTCAAATTTACAGTTTACCATTATGTACAGACATTGATGTAAAATCAGTATTATTGGTAATGTTTTAAGTCTAGACTATTTTCTGCAGTTCATCATCGTTGGCGGAGCAACACGTGTTCCACGAATACAAGCAATATTACAAGACGTTTGGGGGAAAGAATTGGGTAAGAACATAAATGCTGACGAGGCTGCAGCCATGGGGGCTGTGTATCGCGCCGCTGACCTGGGCCAGGGCTTCAAGGTCAAGAAGTTTCACGTCAAAGAAGGAATAGTCTTCCCTGTTGAGGTGAGTTCCTTAACTTAACCTCACTTGATGTAGTTTTTAATTATAGATTAATTTACTTTAGTCTTAGAAACCTAGATATTATTTAGGACAAATGTGTGTATTGAGGCAGGGAACAGGGTTGTCTCGGCCACCAGTGAGAACACCGTTGTGGCGAGGATCTTGGGTACACCTATGACAGTCACAAGGGGTGGGGGGGAGCTACTGTAGTCACTTGAGCTGTACATGTTGGGAGAAAGTGTTTTATTAAAGTGTAACTCTCACTAGTGTTTGTCTTGGTGTCTATTTTACACACGCCTGTTATTTCTTTCGTCCATTGTTTTGTCTTTTCCTGGCCTGGTATTACAATTTTTGTTGTTATTTAATGTAAATTCTCCAAGTATTGTTCTGCTGATATAAAGTCCAGGCCAAATTTGATTTTTATTTGATTTTTATACTTTATATATATATATACTGTACTGTATATAAATGGATACTCTTTCAAGCCTTGTTCTGTTGGGTGGACGGTGATATTGTCGCTGTTCTATTGACTTGATATTTCTTTATTTGAGGGGCGATAAAGCCTGATTAGATTAGGTTTACCGTGAAACCTCCAATAAGGCACCATATAATTCTTACATGGGGAGGGTTTCACATTTAATGAACCCTCAATACAACAGTCTTTCATCTCTCTACAATTCATTAGATGGAAGTTGCATATGTAATGGACTTTCCTCTCCGTATAGTCCATTAAATAGAGATAATACTGTATATTGATCGTTCTGGTGATGGAGGGAGACTGTACCATATTAAATGTCATGTTGTCCTCCCATCTACCTGCCTATTCCATTCATCATCTTCATCCCATTAAGTAACTGATCTTATGAATATTCCCACAGGGTTACTAATACAGTACAGGAAGATCAATAATTTATTAGGTACGCTAGTGGCATTATTAGGTACACTAGTGGCATTATTACGTACGCTAGTGGCATTATTAGGTACACTAGTGGCATTATTACGTACGCTAGTGGCATTATTAGGTACACTAGTGGCATTGTTACGTACGCTAGTGGCATTATTACGTACGCTAGTGGTATTGTTACGTACGCTAGTGGCATTGTTACGTACGCTAGTGGCATTGTTACGTACGCTAGTGGCATTGTTACGTACGCTAGTGGCATTGTTACGTACGCTAGTGGCATTATTACGTACGCTAGTGGCATTATTACGTACGCTAGTGGCATTATTACGTACGCTAGTGGTATTATTACATACGCTAGTGGCATTGTGTGTGTTTTCAGGAAGTTTATAGTTCTCTCCTCTCGTGTTTATCTTGTAAATAATGATTATATGGAGTCTTTTTTATTCGAGAACCTTCCATAATTACTATATTTAACAATCACCAATCATTTCTGACCCCTATAACAGAATTGCCAATTATTCCTGACAGATAAAGAATTGCCAATCATTTCTGACTTAAAGAATCACTGATCATTCCTGACAGATAATCACTGATCATTCCTGACAGGTAATCACCAATCATTCCTGACAGATAAAGAATCGCCAATCATTCCTGACACAGATAATAAAGAATCACCAATCATTCCTGACACAGATAATAAAGAATCCCCAATTATTCCTGACACCTGTAACAGAATTGCCAATCATTCCTGACAGATATCAAGAATCGAAAGTTATTCAACTCTCAAAGTATGATAAAAAATATTCGCCAACACCGACGTAGTTTTTGATATATGATAAATCATTTAGGTTTCTTGAATTAAAAACAAAACAAGAATGTATTAATTGAAACTCCTAAGCAGTGAATGGCCCTGTGGTTTACTGTAGTTGGTAGAGGCAGAATAATTTATACTGGTCATCTTCCACTGAACATTAACCCTTTAAACAAGTGAAGTAATTGCCACTTGACACCTGTGATGGAACAGTGAAACCTCCATATAACGGACTTTTCTACCCATATAATCTGTCGGATGGAGGTTTCATATCTAATGGAGCCTCGATATAATGGACTTTCATCTCTTATCGACCCTTGATATAATGGAATTTTCTCTCCCTATAGTCTTTTAAATAGATGTTTCACACAACTGTCAAGATGTAAAACTAAATATGGAATTGAGGAAAATAAAACTGTAAAAAAATATATATATACTGTATATAGAATTGGTATGAATGTGGTGGTGGTGTTGAGTACATCCAGAGAACCATCCTGGGAAGCCTTGGTAGGTCCTAGTCTCTGTTATGGTAGGTTGTCTGGTGTTGAGTATGTCCAGAGAACCATCCTGGGAAGCCTTGGTAGGTCCTAGTTACTGTTATGGTAGGTTGTCTGGTGTTGAGTACATCCAGAGAACCATCCTGGGAAGCCTTGGTAGGTCCTAGTCTCTGTTATGGTAGGTTGTCTGGTGTTGAGTATGTCCAGAGAACCATCCTGGGAAGCCTTGGTAGGTCCTAGTCTCTGTTATGGTAGGTTGTCTGGTGTTGAGTATGTCCAGAGAACTATCCTGGGAAGCCTTGGTAGGTCCTAGTCTCTGTTATGGTAGGTTGTCTGGTGTTGAGTATGTCCAGAGAACCATCCTGGGAAGCCTTGGTAGGTCCTAGTTACTGTTATGGTAGGTTGTCTGGTGTTGAGTATGTCCAGAGAACTATCCTGGGAAGCCTTGGTAGGTCCTAGTCTCTGTTATGGTAGGTTGTCTGGTGTTGAGTATGTCCAGAGAACTATCCTGGGAAGCCTTGGTAGGTCCTAGTCTCTGTTATGGTAGGTTGTCTGGTGTTGAGTATGTCCAGAGAACCATCCTGGGAAGCCTTGGTAGGTCCTAGTTACTGTTATGGTAGGTTGTCTGGTGTTGAGTATGTCCAGAGAACCATCCTGGGAAGCCTTGGTAGGTCCTAGTCTCTGTTATGGTAGGTTGTCTGGTGTTGAGTATGTCCAGAGAACTATCCTGGGAAGCCTTGGTAGGTCCTAGTGGTACTGTATGTCCAGAGAGGTAGGTCCTGTCTGGTGGTTGAGTATGCCCAGAGAACCATCCTGGGAAGCCTTGTAGGTCCTAGTCCTGTTATGGTAGGTTGTCTGGTGTTGAGTATGTCCAGAACTCATCCTGGGAAGCCTTGGTAGGTCCTAGTCTCTGTTATGGTAGGTTGTCTGGTGTTGAGTATGTCCAGAGAACCATCCTGGGAAGCCTTGGTAGGTCCTAGTCACTGTTATGGTAGGTTGTCTGGTGTTGAGTACGTCCAGAGAACTATCCTTGGAAGCCTTGGTAGGTCCTAGTTACTCTTATGGTAGGTTGTCTGGTGTTGAGTATGTCGAGAGAACCATCCTGGGAAGCCTTGGTAGGTCCTAGTCACTGTTATGGTAGGTTGTCTGGTGTTGAGTATGTCGAGAGAACCATCCTTGGAAGCCTTGGTAGGTCCTAGTCACTGTTATGGTAGGTTGTCTGGTGTTGAGCACGCCTTCCCAGAGAACCATCCTGGGAAGCCTTGCAGGTCCTAGTCACTGTTATGGTAGGTTGTCTGGTGTTGAGTATGTCCAGAGAACCATCCTGGGAAGCCTTGGTAGGTCCTAGTTACTGTTATGGTAGGTTGTCTGGTGTTGAGTATGTCCAGAGAACCATCCTGGGAAGCCTTGGTAGGTCCTAGTCTCTGTTATGGTAGGTTGTCTGGTGTTGAGTATGTCCAGAGAACTATCCTTGGAAGCCTTGGTAGGTCCTAGTTACTGTTATGGTAGGTTGTCTGGTGTTGAGTATGTCCAGAGAACTATCCTGGGAAGCCTTGGTAGGTCCTAGTCTCTGTTATGGTAGGTTGTCTGGTGTTGAGTATGTCCAGAGAACCATCCTGGGAAGCCTTGGTAGGTCCTAGTTACTGTTATGGTAGGTTGTCTGGTGTTGAGTATGTCCAGAGAACCATCCTGGGAAGCCTTGGTAGGTCCTAGTCACTGTTATGGTAGGTTGTCTGGTGTTGAGTACGTCCAGAGAACCATCCTGGGAAGCCTTGGTAGGTCCTAGTCACTGTTATGGTAGGTTGTCTGGTGTTGAGTATGTCCAGAGAACCATCCTGGGAAGCCTTGGTAGGTCCTAGTTACTGTTATGGTAGGTTGTCTGGTGTTGAGTACGTCCAGAGAACCATCCTGGGAAGCCTTGGTAGGTCCTAGTTACTGTTATGGTAGGTTGTCTGGTGTTTAACATATATAGGACTGTGGCTAAGGTATTTACCTATTACCTCCAGTTTAATGTTAAACTTAAGTGTAATATTTAGAAAAAGGAAATAACATTTAATCCCAAGTTTAAAAAAAATTCCTTGGTAGATTGTCAAATTTTAAGAGTATTGTGCAGGGTTTATACCTTTAACATTGTAACTCATGACATTGTAACTCATGACATTGTAACTCATGACATTGTAACTCATGACATTGTAACTCACTGATATTGTAACTCACTGACATTGTAACTCACTGACATTGTAACCCTTGCTTCAACTTTTTACTGTTGTAGATAAAAGCGAAGATTCAGAAGGAGGTGAAAGGAAACTGGTTTGGAGAGCTAACTAAAAAGTTCTTCCGTTGGGTGAGGGAGGGTTTGATTGTGTTCATTATGATTTCTTGTGCTTTGGTGGTGGTGTTGGGACCTGTTCATGCTCTCGAGTGACTTCATCCTTGAACTCTTGGTGATGTTGGGGTCTTCCTTCTTCACCAGTTCCTATCATCTCTCTAGCTAACCTCACCTCATCACACTGCTACATACTACCTGTATTACCATGTTTGTTGTGAGGTTTGGTGGTGCTGGTCACTGTACTGTACACACTGTAGAATGCACAGTTAATAGTAGTGTTTCACCTACTGTAGATTATTATTTTCTTGTGTTGTATGTACAGTAGTAAGATTTGTTTAATATGACAGTGTGTGTGTGTGGTAAATTTTCCCTAGTTTTATTTTTAACAGCCGATTAGTTGAGTAATTCTGTATTATTTATTTATTTTTATTTTCTGTCTACGAGGAATTACATTAGTTGTAAGTTTATCACCCTCAGGAGCCGACTACTTATGGGTGGCTCTGACTGGAGGCTGCCCTATCACTGTGCCTCCTTTACCATCTCTAGTCCTCTTATCCCCTCCTTATTCTCTTCTCTTCCTTGTCTCTCAGGTTGCTCATTGTATGGTCAGTCAGTTTCTTTTTTCACCTTTCCCTTTATCTTTGAGGTGGTCTTCCTCTACCCTATACACCTGCTACATTCCTCCTCCACGGCCTCAGTACTGGCCTGCCATCCTTCTCTCGTGTTCTTAGCTCTGGTCGTCATGTTACTGATGTGTACTGGTGAGGTTGTCTCCTCAGTGTCCATCAGGAAAATATTTGCAGCATTTTTTGTTTATACGAGAGATGTTTATGCTTGTTCTTTGGGTACTGATAAGAAGTACAGTATGGCAAAACTGAAATAAAAACATAATTGTCTAAAAGAATTTTTGATTGTAGTAAGATGATATAGAATGTGTGGGAGACCCATCAGGTTTGGCTGTATTAGGAGTGGTGTGAGGTAGAACCATTAATATGTGATGGAGGTCAATACAAACTGCCTAATTGTGGTGGAGGCAGATGTTTTACTGTACAGTCGTCTCCCAATATTTGGAAATTTGTTGTACGGAAGTTCACTACTGTATAACGGAAATGGTTAATCTATAACTAATATTCAATAAATGGAAACTGGAACTTGTTACAGTAGAAATTATGGTAAAATTTTTCAATATATTTGAGAAGAAACTAAATGTACAGTACATGGTTAAAATGAACAAAACTGCTATGATACATAGCACATTGTAAATACAATACCTGTAGATCACATATTATATACAAAACATAGCTTTCTGCCTTCATGCCAACTTTATGGGTGTGCTGATATTGAACCACAGTTTTAGCAACCAGGCAGTCACCCCACTGGCGAAGAAATCTGTCTGCTGCATTGTATGCATACCTTGACAGTACAGTGGAGGAAGGAGCACAGCTGGACTGGCAACTCATTTACAGTCCACTGCCTCCACACAAATGTTCACCTCCCAGGCATTTAATTTCTCTTATTTTATAGGTTTTTATACTTTCTTTTCTAAATCACAAGAGTATTGGAGTGGTTTTTGACAAATTTTTGGTTTCATTGCGAGGAACAATGGCACCGTGCATAGCCATCTCACAGGTGACTGGTAACGAGTGTTATGGAGATTTCTACAGTATTATCTCTTATGCACTTGCACACACACTTCTCTCTCCCACTGGTTTAATTGCTGCATTATTATGTTTGTTTGTGTTCAGGTTATTAATAATAAAGGTTGTTATAATGTGTATTTGTGACAATGCAGAATCAAAAATTTTGTTAAGTAACCAATCTCACTTGTATAATGACAGTACATACGAGTACAAGGGAAAATGGAGTTCAATACTGTATATGGAATTTTGATGCTGGGCAAGACCTTACGGAACCTAACCCTTCCTAATATGGGGGATGACTGTACTAGATGATGCATGGTGTTTGTGGGTGTGTCTTAAATTTTTACCCTTGAATTATTGTTCTTTCCCATAAGACTTGTAAAACATTTAGCTAAGGAGACCATCACAGTTCTGAACGTGTCCCGACTCATTCGCTGAATTTTTTTGTTCTCCGTTCTCCAGGTTGACTTTGAGCGATATATTGAGAATGAAGATGGGTCGACCAATACCAAGGTGGTGAAGCGTTCGCTCTTTGCCCTCGGAAACAACTACCCCCAGAAGAAAGTGATGACGTTCAACAAACACACGACCGACTTCAATTTTTGTGTCAATTATGCCGAGAATGAACATCTTCCAAAGGCTGAACTCCTGTAAGTAATAAGAGTTGAAGTTTGGCACACTTTTATCACTTCCAATAATGTTTAACAAAAATCATTATTTATCGTATTTCTTGTTTAAATGTATCAAATGTATCTAATTGGGCAATATGTAAAATAACCTGAAAAATGACCCGTTTCATGTTGTTTCTAGGTTAAGCTAGATGTGGTTTGGTTCAGTGTGAAGTTGAATAAAATTTCTGCAGTTCATGCGTGAATAACCTAACCTAACCTAAACACAACATAACGGAACATTTTCACGGGTTGCTCGAGTTGACACGTTGACTGTACTGTAACATGTATGTATCCTCACCCACTAGGGCAGCCAAAGTGGAGAACATATCTCATGTGTTGGTGTCTGGGGTGACGTCTGCCTACTTCAAGCACCAGAAGGAGGGAAATGAACCCAAGGGCATCAAGGTATGTAATGTAGGTGGTCTGGGTCTTGTCCCCATCCACCTGTACAGCCCAGAAAATGTTAACGTGACTGAGTTTGATAATGTTTGGGTTGGAGGTTAGAGCTGAAGGATAAGGTAAAGTGTTAGTTTGGTTAAGGATAGAGTTGAAGGACAAGGTATTGTATAATGGATGACACTACAGGTACACCTACGTACCACCGATGGACAAACTGCAGATTAATTATCAAATATTTATCACCTGAAGACTCTCCACCCCAACTTATTTCACCTGAAGATCATCTACCCTAACACTATTTGGGAGATGAGGTTAGGTTAGCATTAGAATAGGTTAGATTAGGTTAGGTTAGCATTAGAATAGGTTAGATTAGGTTAGGTTAGCATTAGGGTGGTTAATGTTTAAGTGAAATAAACTGGGATGGAGATTCTTCAGGTGATCCTCAAAATTATACCATAGGTTAATAATGCTGTCTGGAAGGTCAAGAGGTCATTGTTGATAGTTAAGGCTGAAGTAACAACCAGATAGATATTAATGAAAAAAATGTCAGTTAAGAGTTTCAGTACACATGAAGAGGGTGAATAACTGGCAGCAGAGGAAGTTAATGTATGCTTGTGGCTCATGATGATTGTATGGTAAGAAACTGGGGATCTAAGATGATGCAGTAGATGTAGTAACAGTACATGTATATACTGTAGTTGGTGGCAGACTTGACACTGTGCTTAAAAGAGGATGAGTGAGCTGAATGGCAAAATGGTGCAGTATATCAGTGTGTGCAGGAATGGGAGGGTGTGGGAGTATATGGTAGGCTATTAAAATGAGATGGAGAGAGAGAGCCAGTTACTCTTGCCACCAATAGGTTTCTCATCCTAAATGCCTGAATTACATTTTTGTCTTATCGAAATGTTGAATGTTTTTGTCCTCCCTCTCAGGCACACTTCAATATGGATGACTCGGGTGTATTGACTCTGGCGGCGATGGAGGCGGTGTTCGAGAAGAGCGTCCTGGTGGAGGAGGATAAGCCCGAGGAGGAGGAGTCTACATTATCAAAACTTGGTAGCACCATTAGTAAGCTTTTCTCAGGTGAGGGGTCTCTCTCTGCATGGTTCAGAAACAGGGTCTCAAGTCTTCATACAGTACAGAAAAGTTGCTCGAGAAGTAAATGTGGAACTTTTGAGGTAACCTGTATTAATGTGGAACTTTTGAGGTAACCTGTATTAATGTGGAACTTTTGAGGTAACCTGTATTAATGTGGAACTTTTGAGGTAACCTGTATTAATGTGGAACTTTTGAGGTAACCTGTATTAATGTGGAACTTTTGAGGTAACCTGTATTAATGTGGAACTTTTGAGGTAACCTGTATTAATGTAGAACTTTTAAGGTAACCTGTATTAATGTAGAGCTTGAAACATTGAACCTGATAAATAAATCACTTCCACAGTAGAACCACGAATATTGTCAAAGATAAAATTCTAATTGATTGTTAATTTGATTTCAATGTTTGTGTCGAAGTACTGTAGTAATACCGAGACCCTGGTATCTGTTGTGGGGTGTCCTGTCGATCGGGTACTTGGAACAGTGGAGTAGTTTATTTTGCCACCTTCTTTTCTTCATCAGGGGGAGGTATTTAACCCTTGTACACATCGTCTTGATGTCGTTTCAGGTGTCTTGCTCGTTGGAGTGGTTTTCTAATTGGGGGTGCGTTACAGGTAGTTGAGTCGTGGGGTTTGTGTTTTATGTGGCTGAAGAGAGTAAACTGGGCTACTGTATTGAGGCTCTTGGATACATAATGCCTCTGGTGGACTATAAACTGTTTCTTGTATATGTATAATGCATTGATAAATCAGACTACTCCTGTTCAGACAACTTTAATTACTTCCAGTCTGGCTATTTAGTCGAGAACGAGACTAATGGCAATTTTAGCCATTGTGAATCCCCCAACAATTAAGCTGCCTATCCCCCCTCTGCCTTGATAGTGTTGGTGCTGTTAAAATCCAGGCTGCTTAAGCTTGGGGTGACTTCAGGTAATTCATAAAAAGCTTAAAATTGTGAATGGTCTAGAGTTCATCGCTGTCTCGGTCATGCTCGGTGTTGTATCCATCCTCCTGACTAAGCATGCACGACTGATGCCCATGTTACTCGCATTCGTCCCCGTCTCTAGACCAGTGGTTCTTAACCTTTTTTGAGTCACGGACCCCTTTGAGAATCTGGTGAAAGCTATGGCCCCCTCCCTAGAAAAATGCACATAAGCACATTAACACAACTTTGCATGCAATGAATTTACTTTATTTTATTGAAAATACATTGCCTCATACAGTGTACGACATACACAAAGTATAGTGAATACAAATGTTAAATTTTTATCTGACCTTCACGGACCCCCTGAAGCCCATCCATGGACCCCAGGTTAAGAACCCCTGCTCTAGACCTTCTTGTTACTGTGATAAGTTAGGATTGAATGTGGACTCGTCATGGTGAACTGCTACACCAACCTCCATGAGGAGATCGAGTGAACATTAGGCCTCCCAGTTGATTTTTTTTACCTGGTTAGACATCCCAAAGCTACCTGAGGGAATTGGGTTGTTAGATTAGGAGGAGTTAGGTTAGGTTTGGTTGGGTTAGGGAAGGATTGGCTAGATTAGATTATATTGGGTTTGATTAGGCTAAGTTGGATTTGATTCGGCTAGTCAGATCGGGTTAAATTGTACTTCAGTATTAGGTTAGACTAGAGTTTCGGTGTTTAACCATTAGCTGAAGTTAACTGGGGTGCCTAATCTTCACGTCATCCTCCCCATGATGTCGCCCTTATAGAAATGGTGACAGTGCAGTACTCAAGAGGCTACTTTAATAACTTACGACTATCACTTGTTTAATGTTTACAGGCTCTTAATATTTTCTGGTTAATATCCTTCCTGGGTGATGCTATTCCTGGCTCTCTTTTGAACTTAAGTGTTTGTTTGTTATATATAAGATTTGATAATTCATTCTTTACACTGTTCATTCATTTTCGTTTTTATTTCCGGGAATTTTTTATTTTTTTCATTTGATTGTCACTTTTTTCTCCTCCATTTTACATGTATTTTATTCTTACCTTTACCCCCCCCCTCTCTCTCTCTCTCTCTCTCTCTCTCTCTCCAAATAATCCACATAATTATTTTTCACCTGTATACGACAAACCAGGATCGGAGGACGAGAAGAAGGAAGAGGGGAAGGAGAACAAGACGGAGGAGAGCGAAGCGGAGAAGGACGGGGAGAAGAAAGAAGGGGGTAAGAAGGAGGACAAGACGGCAGAGAAGAAGGACGGCAGCGGAGACAAGAAGACCGACAAGAAACCCGACGAAGACAAAGAGAAGACGGGAGACGACGACGGCAAGACCAAGAAGGGCGGGAAGGAGCTGAAGCCCAAGCAGGTGACGGTGAAGGAGGAGCTGAACTTCACCCTCACCTACCTGGACGTATCCAACATGACCCCTGAGCGCCTCCAGCAGTCCAGGAAGAAGTAAGAACAACCCTATATGGTGGGGGGAGTGATTAGAGAGTGAGTGATTAGAGAGTGGGAGGTTGATTCGAGTGAGAGACTGATTAGAGTGAGAGACTGATTAGAGTGAGAGACTGATTAGAGTGAGAGACTGATTAGAGTGAGAGACTGATTAGAGTGAGAGACTGATTAGAGTGAGAGACTGATTAGAGAGTGGGAGGGTGATGAGAGAGTGGGAGGGTGATGAGAGAGGGAGGGTGATGAGAGAGAGGGAGGGTGATGAGAGAGTGGGAGGGGATGAGAGAGGGAGGGTGATGAGAGAGTGGGAGGGTGATGAGAGAGGGGAGGGTGATGAGAGAGTGGGAGGTTGATGAGAGAGTGGGAGGTTGATGTGAGGAGAGTGGAGGTTGATGAGAGAGAGGGAGGTTGATTGGAGAGATTGGCTGGAGAGAGAGATTGACTAGAGAGACATTGACTAGAGAGACATTAGACTAGGAGAGATTGACTGAGAGAGAGATTGACTAGAGAGAGATTGATTAGAGATTGATTAGAGATTGATTAGAGATTGATTAGAGAGAGAGGCTGATTAAGAGAGAGATTGACTAGAGAGAGAGATTGACTAGAGAGAGAGATTTGACTAGAGAGAGAGATTGACTAGAGAGAGAGAGAGAGAGATTGACTGAGAGAGAGAGATTGACTAGAGAGAGAGAGATTGACTAGAGAGAGAGAGATTGACTAAGAGAGATTGATTAGAGAGATTGACTAGAGAGAGATTGACTAGAGAGAGATTGACTAGAGAGAGATTGATTGAGAGATTGATTAGAGATTGATTAGAGAGATTGATTAGAGATTGATTAGAGAGAGAGGTTGATTAGAGAGAGATTGACTAGAGAGAGAGATTGACTAGAGAGAGAGATTGACTAGAGAGAGATTGATTAGAGATTGATTAGAGAGAGAGGTTGGATAGAGAGAGATTGACTAGTAGAGACGATGAGAGAGATTGACCAAAGAGAGATTGATTAGAGAGATTGACCAGAGAAGGATTATCTTTGTGATAGAGATTGATTAGAGATATTGATTAGAGAGATTGACTGAGAGAGATTGACTAGAGAGATTGATAGAGATTGACTAGAGAGAGAGATTGACTAGATAGATTGATTAGAGATATTGATTAGAGAGATTGATTTGAGAGAGGATTGACTAGATAGAGATTGACTAGATAGATTGATTAGAGAGATATTGATTAGAGATTGATTTGAGAGAGATTGACTGTAGAGATTGATTAGAGATTGACTAGAGCAGATTAGATTAGAGAGATTAGACTAGATAGAGATTGACTAGATAGAGATTGATTAGAGAGGATTGATGAGAGATTGATTGAGAGAGATTGACTAGAGAGATTGATTAGATTGACTAGAGAGAGAGAGATTGATTAGATAGATTGATTAGAGAGAGATGATTGATTAGAGAGTTGAGAGTTGATTAGAGAGGTTGATTAGAGAGATTGATTAGGAGAGGTCGATTAGAGAGATTGGACTAGAGAGAGATTGATTAGAGAGGATTGACTAGAGGAGAGGTTGATTAGAGTGAGACATTGATTAGAGAGGGAGGTTGATGAGAGGAAGGGAGAAAAAATGATTGAGAGGGGGCGGAGGAAGTCGATTGAGAGGGGAAGGAGGAATGATTGGATAGAGAGGAAGTGAGACAGGTGAATGAAGATTAGTTTCCAACCTCATGAATTTCATTTATTAAAAGAAAATTATAATTCATGAATACAGTGTATACTAGCTTATTTTTGGTCTGAAAAGAGGTCCAATGGGAAACAAAAGAAGCTTTTATGAGTGACATGGTAAAGTTGGGAATGGAAGTCCTGGATGGGGGAGGTGGTGGAATTGTGTATTTTTGCATTGTTTGTGTGGGGTTATTTGTGTATGTATGTAGGGTTATTTGTGTATGATTATATGTATGTATGTAGGGTTATGTGTGTGTTGGGTGAGAGATGGTGTGTGTCGGTGCAGGGTGGTCGTGAATGAATCTATCTTACTCTCGACTTGTGAAGGAATGGAGGGAGAAATACTAATGATGTTTTAACTCTGCTCTGGTTGGGTATTCACAGAGATCTCGTCCTTTCCAGACTAGAGGACATCGGTGCTGCCGAACGCACCCGCCACGAGAAGGAGGCCTCGCGCAACACACTCGAGAGCTACATTCTGGATGCCCAAGATAAATTGTGGCAGAAAGAGTACGAAGCTGCGTCTACCGATGAACAACGTGTGGTCATTCGGGAGATGTGTTCGACGGTGAGTGTGGCCGCGTGTGGTGTGACTAAGAGAAACTAGAGAGCGTTAAATGAGATGAAAAGTTTGTGTATGATGAGGTGAAATACATAGCCTCTCCTCTGTTGTTGGGAAGGTCTGTAAATATTTGCTTATTAGTGTATACTTTTTTTGGGTTGCCAGCTGTTAAATTGATATCTAGATTCTTAACTTTAAGGAATAAGTTATACCCTTTACAGTCCTGGTACCTGTTTATATAGTATAGTAGTCTACCATTAAACTTATTGAAAGGTTCATTATTGTCCCCTCATGCCAAGATTTGAGAAGAAGTGGACATGTGCAGGAGTTTAACCACAAAAATTGGGACTGACACATGACATTTGGCTTAATCTATTTCTGTGAATGTTTGGTGAAGATTAAGTTTTAAAATGTCGAGTCTTGGGAAGTTTTATTCATTATTCCCCACCTGGTGAAGTTGCTGGAGGATATTGAGGCTATTTAGTAAAACTTTTTACAACTTTAAGAGAATTATATGATCGTGTTAAGCATCATTTGGGTTGAAGTAAGGGACTTGCATCATTCTGCGATACTGTACTCTACTGCTTCTCGAGTCTGGTGTTTTAATTGAGAAAACACCAGTAAAGGATTTTGTCTTGTATTTGCAGCTGGACGAGTGGATCTACGATGAAGGGTTTGATCAGGCTGCTACTGTATACAAGGAGAAACTGGGAGAGCTGTCCAAGTTGTTTGAGCCCATCAAGGAACGCGTACAAGAGCACCGCGACCGCCCTGAAGCCATCCAGGCAAGGAACCGCACGGTTTTGATGTACATCTCTCTCTCTTTTGTGTGCGCATTCTGTCTTCTCTGTACGCATTTTATAAAAAAGTGGAAAAGGTCAACAGAAACGAGGTTGTCTTGTGACAAAGGCGAAGGTAGTTGGGGCAGTGTTGTGGAAAAGATTTATTCGTTGGGACATTTGGTTTTGGCGTACTTAAGTATAGTTGGATACCTTTACAAAGGGAAGGGAAGGACTCTAAAGGATGATAAGGGAGTGTCACCTAACACCTCTAAAGGGAATGGCAAAAATCAACAGTATTCCAGATTAGTAAGAAATCGTAACCAGCCACGACATAACAGAAGCAACAGATGATATATGTAGTGTAGGTGTAAGTAAGTCTTCCTGTGCAGCTCATTCTTTCACTGTTCAATTGTTGCAACTGAAGTTTGTGTAAAAAAAATGTTAATACAGTATATTAATTCTGGATTGATTTTTCATATGAATGTAAATATTATTTTTAAAATTACCAAAGGGAATGTAAATATTTAATTGCTAACATAAAATATTTTTAATAAAATGTAAAAGATAATTTAGTTTTCAATATCCTAAGGTTGTCAAGTAATGCACCTTAAAGTTTGTACAGTTTAAAGATCCTTAAAACATTCCCTTGTATAGTACTTGCTAAAACTTAATATTATCCAGCTAGTACAGTAGTAACTCCTCACTAATAGATGAATTAATAGCCGATAGAAAGTCTTTAGAGAATAGCATTGCGCTGTCATTCTTGTATATGAGTAATGAAAGGATTGGCTTGGCACAGGAAAGCATTTATGTAGGACAATGAGCGACACATACACCACTACCTCCAATGTTATCGGGTTACTACATGAATTCAGCAGCTCGTATAGTCCCTCTTGGTGAGTACTAGTTCCTTCAGAATGGCGATGGAATGGTTTTTGAATTAGTGAAATATTAAAAATGGGTTTTAGGGATATGGAGGTGAATAGTAAGATTAGTTAAAGGAATACAGAAGAAATGTTGGAAGTGGTGAATGGGATGGACATTGAGGAAACAGTGATGACGTGGTAATGAAAGGGACTAAAAAATAATAGCATCGGGTGGGGGTGGGGGGTGGTCGGTGGTTGATTGTGTACGTTGATGTAAGACACAATAACGGAACACAAGTTTGACAGCTGCTAGAATAAATGTATGAATTGACAAGTCTTGCATTAGATCGCACCCAACTGGTAATGAAGTTGCAGAAAAAGCGTAAGAGTGACAAGAAATTAAAATTGGTTGAAAGATTGAAAGTTTTCTTCACCGTTTCATGTCAAGAAGACGTATTGGGTTTAAGTTTGGGGCGATTGTTTTTGAAAGTGATTGTACTGTAGGTGAGTCTGGAGGGGGGGGGGTTGTTATTCCTCACTCGTATATACAGTACTATCGTCCCTCTTGTCTATATCTCCTCAACACTACAACCAATTATCTTCACTTTGGACCGACGAGATCTCGATGTATGTATCCACTCATGACATTTTGAACATTTCAGGCCCTGCAAGACATGATCAACGGGTCGTCTATGTTCCTGCAGAGGGCGCGGGAGGCCCCCCTCGAGCACCAACTCTTCACAGACACCGAGTTGACCACGATGGACACGCTCATTGTTGACGTCCAGGTATGTCGCTTTACTCTGGGGTCGGCGGCGTCTTAAAATTTGGAGAAAGTCGGGAAATTTCAAGTGGTTAATTCCCCCGGCCTGAAGTGTAGTATTGGAGGGAAACTTTGTGAGGGAAAGTATTGGAATTTTACCGATACTGAAGTCATCAAATGTGATTGATTAATAATACAATAGTGTAGAGTAAAATCTGTTGAGTACTGTATAGCTGCAGATTCTCAGTAAGATTATAGAAGAATTATGATAATCCAAACATGTAATTTATATTTTATTATAATTATTAATCCTTTTAATTGTATTTTATCTTTCGTGAAATGGAGATTGTAGTTATGCAGCGAGGGAGCGCTTACATGGGGGAGGGGTGCTTAGTTTAGAATGCAAAACTAGATAAGAAATACAGTAATTGTATCAAGAGGACAGCATACAGGTACAGTTCTTATAACTAATCTGGTACTGTAGTCTTGTTCATTAGTGATTTTATGTACAGTATAGTCTGCATTTACGCGGTCAATTGAACCCGTGGAGTACCGCGTAAAACGCGTAAACGAAATAGCAGAACATATGGGATTAATTGAAATAGAGACTGGGCCGACCCCCAAACTACACATTTTCCAACACAATACGTACGTTGTAGTAAAAATAACATCTTAATTTTATGATGGTATGCACATACAATTAATATTTAAGAGAAATATCAATAATATTAGTTTTTTTTTAACACTTACGTTAGTAGAAAACATGGCTGGGCACACAGGGATGGGGGGTTGGTTCCAAGGCAGAGGGCAGATTATTGGCCCTCACTTGTATCAATATCCACCACAGAGGCTTGCAGGGCCTCTTTGTCAAACTCCTCAAAGTCCATATCCTCACTACCACTGACTTGGCCGGCTGTGGTGGGTGGCGGGTGAAGAACTCGGTAATGTTTTGATGACTGGGCGACCTTGTGCGCACCCTGCCCGTGCTGCTTCCCACGTAAATGACCAGATTTGCTGCATAATTAAAGCATTTACATTCTGGCAAGGCACAGCGTAAATGACCAAACGCGTAAACAAAATCCGCGTAAATGCAGACTATAACTGTACTGTAATTGTACACTTGTTCACTTAATAACATCATCACTTAAAAATACACTTCAAACACTTACAATTACTGAACACTGTAATACTGTGCATAAATAAGTTGGACTTTGCACCGATGAATATAAAAGATCCCGGATACTATATTGTCATGGATTGTAAAGGGCCGGATCACAAGACTTTCTCTGTTTATTTGGTGAAAGATAACTTGTTGAGCAGTCTGGATCACGGCTCCTACATGTTAAAAGAAGGCGTTAATGTGGTGGGTAACACGGTACCGACCAGTCATCGCCTAACTCGGAAATCTTATTGCCGAGGCAGACTTCCTCGGGTGAGCCATTGCTTCTAGGGCAATTTGTCGCTGTTTCAGTTTAAACCTGACCTGACCTGACTTCATCACCTCCAAAATAGTGTTATCTAAGTATGATAATATAACATGTTGTTCAAATGACCGGTGACGAATTGTCCACCCACCATGACATTGCATGTTTTAGCCCGACTGAAATATTTTATATATTTTATAGGATCGGTTTAGCTATTCTTGGCTGCTTGATGGAATTTATTAGAACAAAATGGGTATTATTTATTACAGTATCCTTGTTTTTTGCAATTCTAATTGGTGATTATGCAACCTTAAATGGCATGTACAGTACGTCCGGATAATTCGCAGTCCTCTATATTCACTGATGACACTGGATGTACCCAAGAATGTCTGCGGGTAGTTTTAAAGTTGCCGGGACTTTCGCGGCTGGGACAGGGAGCCATTCATTCTTAGTAATTTCCTGTATTGTATATATGTGTGTGTGTGTGTGTGTGTGTGTGTAGACAAATATACAATACAGGTAAAAGAAATAATTGTACTAAGGACAAACACAAAAGTAATATACATTTCTTTGTACACAAGTAATAAATGTATCTCTTCCCCAATCAGCAGATGTTGTACCAGTAAGCTTACGGTACACGCTTGTTTATCTGGGGCACTACAGCAGAGAAAATATTAGGTATCATGGGAAGGGGGACACATGCACTAAGACTCAACACTTCTAGATGGGTGAGGTTGTTCTGTTTAAGTATCAGGACCTAAACTGTTAAATCCTACATATTGTGTAACATTTCATCCGTGTCTGCAGGCCCGGTGAATAACATTCCTGATTCGAGCCGTCTCCGACTCGTGCACGTGCTTGCGTCTTGTGCATTCACTGCCTTGTTCACCGATGCAATAGTTCACGCACTGAGAATTTATTGGGTTCTCTACGTTGAAGTTCTCTATTGCCAGCCTCGGTCTCCTTCACCATCAACAATACCTTTATTATGCAGCCATATCCACATTTGTTTGTTTATATATTTACTGTATATATTTACTGTATATATTTTATATACTTTCCAGAAATGGTTGGAAGACAAGGAAGAGTTACAGGACAAGACTGCACTATCAGAGAATCCTAAACTGACCCTGAGTGACATTGGGGAGAAGTGGTCAGCCCTTGATCGTGAGGTAAGCCACTGAACTTACTGTGCTTGGTGGTAAGCGTGTCAAGTCCTGATTGTGTGGGTGTTGTGGCGTCCTGATTGTATGGATAAGATATCTGTTTTAATCTTTATTTTTAGTCTCTGAATGTGTACACTATTGTATCACCACGTACTGTTGTAGAACTCTCTCTCTCTCTCTCTCTCTCTCTCTCTCTCTCTCTCTCTCTCTCTCGAATTTTCTGCACCCTGATCCATCCCACAGAATAAACTTAAAAAAAAAGACTCCTTAAAATTAACGTGGGATTTCTTATATAAATTTCTTTGTGTTTATTTTTTCTTTGCTTTTTATTATTGATTCCTGTTTAGTTTTCTTCATCTTTTATTATTATTTTTTCCTTTTATTAGTGGCTAGTGAGATAAGGCAGTTGTTTTTACCAGTATGATGTTGGATGCTACTTTAGTGTGTGTGGTCTACAAAGATATATTTAACCTAACCTAACAAGATGGATTATCAAGTATTCATAGGGTTAAATTTACTCTTAGCCTAACTAAACCTAATCTAACTTCACCTGACATAACTTACCCTAACCTGACCTAACTTACCCTAACCTGACCAAACTTACCCTAACCTGACCTAACTTCACCTGACATAACTTACCCTAACCTGACATAACTTACCCTAACCTGACCTAACTTCACCTGACATAACTTACCCTAATCTGACATAACTTACCCTAACCTGACCTAACTTCACCTGACATAACTTACCCTAACCTGACCTAACACCTAACCTGACCTAACTTCAACAACTAACACCTAACCACACACATACCTAATCTGACATAACTTACCTAACCACATTGCTACCTGACACTGACATAACACCTAACCTGACATAACCTGACTACCTAATCTGACATAACTTACCCTAACCTGACCTAACTTCACCTAACCAAGCATTGTTACACCTTACGAGAGAGTAACTGTGTCTCTTAACTCACAGATCAAGTACCTGATAAACAAAGCTAAGATCACCAAGGCCAGAAAAGAGCTAAAAGAAGCGAAAAGCGGAAAGGCAAGAAGAGAGAAAAAGAAGAGAAAGAGGCGGAGAAAGAGGCACCAGCAGCGGAGAAAGAGGAGGAGACAAATGTCCCGGAGACCGAACAGAGGGAGGAGGAGAAGAGAAGAGAAGGAGGAGACACCAGGCGACAGGTTAGTAGGAGACCGATAAGATTATTGTTTGTGTTGTGGCTGCTAGAGGACTGAATGACTGAGGGAGATTGATGATTGACTGAGAGGGGAGATTGATGACTGACTGAGAGGAGATTGGGACTGAGAGAGATTGATGACTGACTGAGAGGAATGATGACTGAGAGACTGACTGATGACTGACTGAGAGGGGGGACTGAGACTGATGACTGACTGACTGAGAGGGGAGACTGATGACTGACTAGAGAGGGAGACTGATGACTGACTGAGAGGGAGACTGACTGACTGAGGAGGCTGATGACTGATGACTGACTGAGAGGAGACTGATGACTGACTGAGAGGAGATGACTGACTGAGAGGAGACTGATGACTGACTGAGAGGAGACTGATGACTGACTGACTGACTGATGACTGACTGAGGAGGGATGACTGATGATGACTGAGGAGGAGACTGACTGAGAGGGAGACTGATGACTGACTGAGGGAGACTGGGGGGACTGATGACTGACTGAGAGGGGGAGACTGATGACTGACTGAGAGGGAGGAGACTGATGACTGACTGAGAGGAGGGAGACTGATGACTGACTGAGAGGAGACTGATGACTGACTGAGAGGAGACTGATGACTGACTGAGAGACTGAGAGACTGATGACTGACTGAGGGAGACTGATGATGACTGAGAGGAGACTGATGAACTGAGGAGGGAGTGTGACTGGAGGAGACTGATGACTGACTGAGGAGAGACGATGACTGACTGACTGACTGAGGGAGACTGATGACTGACTGAGAGGGAGACTGATGATGACTGAGAGACTGATGACTGACCAGACTGATGACTGACTGAGAGAGAAGAGACTGGTGATGACTGACCACTGCCGACGACTGAGGAAGAGACTGGTGATGACTGACCAACCGACTGAGGAAGAGACTGGTGATGACTGACCAACCGACTGAGGAAGAGACTGGTGATGACTGACCAACCGACTGAGGAAGAGACTGGTGATGACTGACCAACCGACTGAGGAAGACTGGGATGAAGCTGGTACCCAACCGACTGAGGAAGAGACTGGTGATGACTCCGACTGAGGAAGAGACTGGTGATGACTGACCAACCCATGAGAAGAGACTGATATTGAAACCGACTGAGGAAGAGACTGGTGATGACTGACTGACTGACCAACCCGACTAGGAAGACTGACTGTGATGTCTGACCAACCGACTGGGAAGGCTGGTGATGACTGACCAACCGACCGAGGGAAGAGACTGATGATGTCTGACCAACCCGACCGAGGAAGAGACTGATGATGTCTGACCAGCACCGAGAAGAGACTGATGTCAGCCAGACGAGAAGAGACTGATGATGTCCTGACCAACCGACCCGAGGAAGAGACTGATGATGTCTGACCAACCCGAGGAAGGGCTGATGATGTCTGACCAACCGACGAGGAAGGATGATGTCTGACCAACCGACCGAGGAAGGGACTGATGATGTCTGACCAACCGACCGAGGAAGAGACTGATGATGTCTGACCAACCGACCGAGGAAGAGACTGATGATGTCTGACCAACCGACCTGAGAAGAGACTGATGATGTCTGACCAACCGGCCGAGGAAGAGACTGATGATGTCTGACCAGCCGACCGAGAAGAGACTGATGATGACTGACCAACCGACCCGAGGAAGAGACTGATGATGTCTGACCAACCGACCGAGGAAGAGACTGATGATGACTGACCAACCGACCGAGGAAGGGACTGATGATGACTGACCAACCGACCGAGGAAGAGACTGATGATGACTGACCAAGCGGCGAGGAAGGGGAGATGGTGTCTGACCAACCGACCGAGGAAGAGACTGGTGATGTCTGACCAACCGACCGAGGAAGAGACTGGTGATGACTGACCAACCGACCAACCCGAGGAAGAGACCGAGACCAACCGAAGAACTGGTGATGTCTGACCAACCGACCCGAGGAAGAGACTGATGATGTCTGACCAACCCGGAAGAGACGATATGTCTGACCAGCCGAGACTGATGACCGACCGAGGAAGAGACTGATGATGTCTGACAACTGATGATGTCCCGACCGAGGAAGAGACTGATGATGTCCTGACCAACGGCGAGAAGAGCTGATGATGTCTGACCAACCCGACGAGGAAGACTGATGATGTCTGACCAGCCGACCGAGAAGAGACTGATGATGTCTGACCAACCCAGGAAGAGACTGATGATGTCTGACCAACCGACCGAGGATGAGGATGTCTGACCAACCGACCCGAGGAAGAGACTGGATGATGTCTGACCAACCGACCGAGGAAGAGACTGATGATGTCTGACCAACCGACCGAGGAAGAGACTGATGATGTCTGACCAACCGACCGAGGAAGAGACTGATGATGTCTGACCAACCGACCGAGGAAGAGACTGATGATGTCTGACCAACCGACCGAGGAAGAGACTGATGATGTCTGACCAACCGACCGAGGAAGAGACTGATGATAACTGACTGACCGACTGACTGACTAAGAGACAGTATTGTGGCAGGAAATGGCCGGCATCACTGCTACCATAAATACAAGGTGTTCGTAAATTACCTGGACCCACATTACAGGCAGAAGACATTAAGTTTATTATTTACTTGACAAACTATTTATTTATTTTGTATTTTTTTAAGGTGACCTACACATGTGATCTGTTTATAACATGTCCAAGGTTAAATTTGGAATTGGGGTCGGATAATTTATGGCCGTGCTATGTTTACGTCGTGTAATGAAATCTCTCTTTTAATGGGCTACATGGGGTGGGAAATCTGTTGTGTCGAGGGTCTGTTAGATGAGAAACCTCCATCTAATGAACTACATGGAGATGAACGTCCATTATATTGAGGTTCCTTCATAGATTATTTCCCCCGATAGAGATGAAAGTCCATTATATTAAGGCTCCTTCATAGATTATTTCCCCCAATTGGTGTTAATTTTTTCAATTTTCTGGCAGGTGAAAACGAAGGCGTCATCGAGTCAAGTCAGGAGGAGAAGGACGCGACAGACTCCGACATCGACGAAGCTCAGGTCGAGGAGACACTTGATATATTCGAGGACAAGCCACAGGAAAACAATAGTGAAGGAGACAGGAGGAAAGACACTGAGGAAGAAGAGGCAGAGGAACCTACTTTGGAATTTGGTGGTGAGTGAATGTGGACCAGCCAGCTAGTTACATGTATAATTGAAGGCATTTTTATTTAAGGTTGTTGATTCAGAATTATAATCTTAGTACGTAGTTTTATATATTAATGAGATGTGGTAATATTTGCATCATTATATTTTGCCTTCCACTGAATAATATTTAAGGAACAGGATTTCATTAGATGGATAGAAATTATTAATCAAAGACTATCAGTTCATGACTTTATGCTGCTAGGGATGTAGTAACCCCTTCCCCCCACCCTACTCCATCTCTCTACTTGGTGTTGTCTTGGTTCCATGCTTATGCTGCTGCCTATAGTAGTGTACAGTATCTACCTGTTGTGTAGCTTTTATCTCTCGACTTATTTTTGTGTAAGTTTGTGTTCTTTTCATCATTTAACTTCACTGACATATCATTATTCTATAGCAGAGGTTAGGAGTATTGTTAATAGATCTTGACACAACTGGACTGTATGGAGCAGCTATCATGATTGTTAGGCTCGGTGTTTGGAGAAGAGTTTGCATGATATAATTGGTGGCTGGCAAGAACAGGGATGGTAATAGCTCACAGGGACACATACAGTGATGGGCATCTGGGCTACTGGAGAAAGTTATTGATGTGACAGCTGTGATACTTTTGGCTTTTTAACTATTAACTGACAGTGGAGGCTTCCCTACTCCACCCCCATGTGCACAATAATAAAATGCAAGGAACTTTAAACTTCCACTGATGATGGCTGCCATTTAAGGGTTAGTCTTTTCTACACTGCATTACCTTTAGACACCAGAGCATTAATATTTGGAAATCATATTGGTAAATGTTGACCTGGATGAAATTTTCCTTTTTTCTCGGAGCATTTGTCTTGTCGGGGGGGAAGATGTGATTTTACATTTACATAATTAGTTTCTCTTGACCACAGAACAAGAGTGCAACATATATATTGCATCAATGAATGTGTTAAGTATGCATCTTGATCATAGTTTGCATAGTGTACTCACAATGGACTGTTAACTGAATCATCATCATGAACAACAGCGTGAGGTCCTGAATTAGCTTAAAAATCTTGCTACTAAATTTATTCCTTAAAATTGGGAAAATGAAATCCAGTTTCTGTAATGAATTCTTCTATTGAATCTGGAGCCAAACTCTGCTTGTCCCCCTCAGCTCTTTCCCGACCCTTCTGGATGACTTCCCCAGATTTAACATGGTCGTACGTGTCCTCAGCTCTTGTTATTTTAATCCTCCACGTGCTGTTCACTCGTCCACCGGGCATCAGGTTGGAAAGTTTGAACAGTTGGGTCCCGTGACCTCATAATGATATATACTGTAGCTATTTATTTTTCCTTTTTTGGGTTTTACTTTGCTCTTTTGTTTTATTTTATTTTTTGTTCTCTCTTGTTTCATTTTATTTTTTGATATGTTCTATCTCATCTATTTAAAATCTTTTATTGTTGCAGGTGAGGATGACAAGACTCACACCGAGTTGTGATGAGACCAGTCTACTAAGCCGTCTGTCTACAAGTGGTCTTCACGGGAAAACTTGATTATCGTCGGAATACTTCTCTCAAGTTTTTGTGAACCTCGGTTGACTCTGTACTTGAAGGCATAAATTTACTGACTACAGTACAGTTTAGAGAAAAAGTTTAAATTTTCTTTTTTTATTTCAATGTGAATGTGTAGACATAACCAGTGTCCTGTTTTTAATTTAGGGGTGTGACGAGACTTCCTGTTCTACCTCTCGAGTAACTTGACAAGATGCTTCAGACGTGTACTCGACCAGAGGCTTTTATTGGTTTATGCCTCGGAGTATTGTCCATAAAATTAATGTCGAGCACAAATGTTATCCTTGAAACATTGACTATTCCTGTAAATGTAAAGTTGTGGAGCATCTGTAGTTAGTAAAAACAAATGATTAATGAATTCCCACTACTTCCTTTTTTGTAAAGGAACTAAATCAGGGATCATGAAGTTACTACTTTAAACTGTTATTTATAAAGCTTTTCATGATCCAAGCAGTGGTACTGTGTAGAACCTTCAACTTTATCACAGGTTATTCCTTACTAGAAGTGTGGACCATAATAGGTTTTGGTCACATGCAAAATTTAGATCCAAGATGCTTTACATAATGTTGACAGAATTTGTTGTTAATTTGAAATACTATTTTTCCAGAGTTACTCCGCAAATGTTGTAACGTTCTCTGCTCTCATGAGAATATAATGAGACAGTAGTGTGGAGGTTAGATCTGTTCTAGTAGTTAATATGAACATTTAGATACCGAGCAAGTTAATTGTTATTTCCTGCTTTTGATAAAAAGTATGACGTGGCCGTGTCAGTTGTAAGACACAAGACATCAATCAGTCAACAAATTTTCACTTGTATTTGTACAGTACATAGCATAGTACTGTACAGTGTGTTTGTACAGTACATAGCATAGTGCTGTATAGTGTGTTTGTACAGTACATAGCATGGTACTGTACAGTGTGTTTGTACAGTACATAGCATGGTACTGTACAATTTTTGGACAGTACAGTACCTCATAAGTTACTAGCCATCACACTACCACCACAGTTTGGGATGATGTATGAGCCATTGTTCATGTAAACTTTTGATCAAAAGTAGAGACTTGAGATTGTCTGATGATTTTCAAGAGTAATTGAAAATATTGAATTAATTGTTGGAATGGAATTCTAGATTTTTTTTTATTGTATTTATATAAACTGTATATTAATCCATCTATTGTACTCAGTTTAGATGGGGAGGGAGTTACTATGTGTTGGTAGTAGGTAGGTAGTGATCAACTTCATACATATACCAAAGGAAAAGGAAATATTAAATATATTTAGTCACATTCCATGTAAAATTGTCTAGCATATTTTGTTGAAAATGTATTTATTGAGTTATGCATTTCTGTAGTTGTAAATGGAAAGGAAAATATACATGTGATATTAAATCTGTTGTGTGGTGACTGTACAAGAGGCAGTGTTCATTGTGTTCTGTCATATGGAGGTTATGACTTGGGTTTCTTTATGCTGTTCCTTCCAAAATTTATCTACTGAAGTTCATTTAATATGGGAATGTAAATTTATGATGAAAATGAAACTATACAATCCAAGTTTTTTATTATTTGTATGGTTAGCTTTATCTGTTCACCTAGATCAGTGTCAAGAGCGAGTACAGTTATGCCCTCTCGTGTTGCCCCGGGCGGTACAGTATCGTGCAACGTGTTCCATAAGAACTTGAGGTGTAACATGGCACAAAGATTTCCATCGCTACAAAGAGGACCACAAATCTTAGGTGAAAATTGGCAAAACTTAGTCGTTACAATTGTCGTATTTATAATTTCTGTATTAATCTAAGACCCGCGTTAACCTGAGTTGTGGTGCTAGAATTCCTCCATTGTTTAACCTGAGTTTTTTTTTTCCTTCCTGTGTCCTCTTTCTCCTCTCATCAAATTCCTTATGTTTATATATACAAATGTACTGTATGTTACACTTCTCTGTTCTGCCTTATAGCTCTCCTTTACCCATTGTGTTCTGACTTGTACCCATACTACAATTAGCCGGACTTTAATGTGTTGTCTCTTAACTTAACTTTCACTTACCAGTTTATAGTCAACCTTACTGTACCAGAGCCTGTTCTTCCCTTCCCCTCCTGAGGTAATGAATTAACAACTTTAGTGTTTATGAAGGGATGCACAACTTGATGGAGGAGGTAGTTGGTTGACCATGAGGACAAGACAGCTATACTACAGCACAATTTCTGGTGGTGGAAGTTCTGTAGTGTTTACATTCCAATATAAGTCCAAACATAATCAAATTAATATAATTTCTCAAACAAATACAATTCACTAGAATACTGAAGTTAGTTTAACAGCAAGAGTTTTATCAACACTTCATACATAAATATTGTGAAAAGATTTATTACAAAACTTACTAGATTATCAATAAATGAAAGTTGATAAATATCGTGGACATATGAGTACAGTACAGTATCAAGATCTGGTACAGTACCATCTACATAAATATTTTGTATGTAACTACTTCCAGCTAATACAGTAAATGCTCACCCTTAAGTATGTGAAGTTAAAAGACTTTGTTGTTAATATACACTAAGTAATGCCTGGACTTACTGAAGTTGGCTTATTGAAATTCTTAACAAGTGTATCGTGTACTGTAAGTAAAGCACTGAACCTCCGTACTCCTGTGAGCTGAAGCGCACTACAGTATTGTTATCTTGAATGAACATGAATCAATGACTCATTTTCAGAATATTAATTTCACAGCCAATTAGAAAATTGTGAACAAGTGTATTGCCTTAAACCTGCACTCGAAGGGTATGGTTTGTCAGTGTTTGTTTGTTTGTTGTAAAACCTCATGCAGTGGATATATTGTCATGTTGTCAATATATTGGAATTTGAGTGACAACTGAAGTACTAAACTATTTTGCCAATTAAGTAGAGTACAGTACAGTACTGTGGTAAGGTGACATGATAGAAGCATATTAAAGTGAGCAGGTCAGTAAGGACACTTCATCTGGTAACATATTGATGACATGTCATACTATATCAACTTCAGTAACTGGACTTGACTAATTCGTCCACAGTTCAATGGTAAACAGATTTGTGGAGTATTGTAAAGTCACGAGAAATGTTAAGCTGTTAAATGTTGCATCACAATTTCATTACATGCATGGGATCTAAAGTTCACCAGATGAATGATAGTGTGTGGATGTGTATTTATGTTCGAGTATGTAATGAACTTCTGCTCATTTCATAAAATAAATTCTTTTGAAAATATGGTAATATGATTAATCCTTTATTAATGTTAATAACCCAGACTGACCCCAAGACACCTGTCTGGGTTGTTATAGTGCAGTAGCTGCGGTGCTAATGCTGACCCTAAGACACCTGTCTGGGTTGTTATAGTGCAGTAGCTGCTGTGCTAATGCTGACCCTAAGACACCTGTCTGGGTTGTTATAGTCCAGTAGCTGCTGTGCTAATGCTGACCCTAAGACACCTGTCTGGGTTGTTATAGTGCAGTAGCTGCTGTGCTAATGCTGACCCTAAGACACCTGTCTGGGTTGTTATAGTGCAGTAGCTGCTGTGCTAATGCTGACCCTAAGACACCTGTCTGGGTTGTTATAGTGCAGTAGCTGCTGTGCTAATGCTGACCCTAAGACACCTGTCTGGGTTGTTATAGTGCAGTAGCTGCTGTGCTAATGCTGACCCTAAGACACCTGTCTGGGTTGTTATAGTGCAGTAGCTGCTGTGCTAAACTGACCCTAAGACACCTGTCTGGGTTGTTATAGTGCAGTAGCTGCTGTGCTAATGCTGACCCTAAGACACCTGTCTGGGTTGTTATAGTGCAGTAGCTGCTGTGCTAATGCTGACCCTAAGACACCTGTCTGGGTTGTTATAGTGCAGTAGCTGCTGTGCTAATGCTGACCCTAAGACACCTGTCTGGGTTGTTATAGTGAAGTACTTGCTCTAATCCACACAGCACACGATTAGTGGATCCCATGTTATTGACCTGACCTGATATTTTGTAAGGTCACCCATTGTAAAGAAGCCTTTCTCAGTCCCTGTAAGTTCAGTTGCCTCTGAAGATGTCTTGAATAAAGACAAAAGCTAAGGTGCTCCATTGTTTCCTTTTTCCCTGTGTGGTTTTATCTCGTGTATACAGTATATATATATATATATATATAAATAAATAATAGGTCTAGATTGGGATCATAGAATCCCATAGTTGGTATAAAAACTTGTTAGAGGTAAACAATAATATAAGCGACCAACTTTCACACATTACGTCATAGTGAGGCTCCCGCTGGTGACGTCAGAGGTGTCGGGTCCTCCACCAGTCGATGTGGCGAGAGAAAACGGGTGTAAATAAACAGACGATGGCGGCGGCTGGTGGGGAGAGGATGGTGACAGAAACTGGTGGGAAAAACTCTCCATTACCTCAAATACCCGTCAATATACAGCGAGTGTTGCCCAGGACGGTACCGGGACCCGTCAGCCCTCAGAATAAAGGCGCACTAGACTGGTAAGGGACATTAATGGCGTTCTTTCTTCACCTACTACAGGATGGTGATGACGTTCTCCTCCCCCAACAAGACCTTCATTTCCGTTCTGTATCTGTGTATTTGTTTATGTTAATTTATGTGTAGTCTGACTGTCTGAACCTGTGTTAAATTAGTCTGTGTCTGAACCTGTGTTAAATTAGTCTGTGTCTGAACCTGTGTTAAATTAGTCTGTGTCTGAACCTGTGTTAAATTAGTCTGTGTCTGAACCTGTGTTAAATTAGTCTGTGTCTGAACCTGTGTTAAATTAGTCTGTGTCTGAACCTGTGTTAAATTAGTCTGTGTCTGAACCTGTGTTAAATTAGTCTGTGTCTGAACCTGTGTTAAATTAGTCTGTGTCTGAACCTGTGTTAAATTAGTCTGTGTCTGAACCTGTGTTAAATTAGTCTGTGTGTGAACCTGTGTTAAATTAGTCTGTGTCTGAACCTGTGTTAAATTAGTCTGTGTGTCTGAACCTGTGTTAAATTAGTCTGTGTCTGAACCTGTGTTAAATTAGTCTGTGTGTGAACCTGTGTTAAATTAGTCTGTGTGTGAACCTGTGTTAAATTAGTCTGTGTCTGAACCTGTGTTAAATTAGTCTGCGTCTGAACCTGTGTTAAATTAGTCTGCGTCTGAACCAGTGTTAAATTAGTCTGTGTCTGAACCTGTGTTAAATTAGTCTGTGTCTGAACCTGTGTTAAATTAGTCTGTCTCTGAACCTGTGTTAAATTAGCCTGTCTCTGAACCTGTGTTAAATTAGTCTGTGTGTCTGAACCTGTGTTAAATTAGTCTGTGTGTCTGAACCTTTGTTAAATTAGTCTGTGTGTCTGAACCTGTGTTAAATTAGTCTGTGTGTCTGAACCTGTGTTAAATTAGTCTGTGTGTCTGAACCTGTGTTAAATTAGTCTGAATCTCTGTGTTAATTTACTCTCTAAAGGTGTAGAAAAGGGTGTCCACCAGAAGGAATTGTCCGAATTGGTTGAAAATTTGTCTACACATTAATATTATGACATTAAATACAAAAATGGAAATGACACTGCACAGAACCTAATAGAACCTGACCTAACATACCCATAGGTTGGGTTTGTTAGGTCAGGTTCTATGCATTATCGTGTTAAATTATGTGTTTAAACAATTTACCTTAATATTGAGGTTGATATACATTAGCAAAATTCCTAAAAAAGACTCAACATTATAATAGAAAGTTGTTGTTTGTTTTATTATACTTCAAATCATCAAAACAATAAGTATAGCAATGATAAAGGTAAGTAACAAACAACTTCTGGTGGTCACCCCTTTACCATTGACTCTGAACATCTGTACCTGTAGTTTGAGTGTCTGTAACTGTTAATTTACTCTTTTAATAATTTGGTAATTATTGACGACTGACCCGCAGCTGACTTCATAGAAAACGATTTAATAATGCAATTTCACTGTTTTTTTTTTAAAGTGGACACTTGTAGTTTGTGAAAATGTGTTAAAAAATGGTTATTTCTAAACTAAACCTAACCTAACCTTAGTGGGTATAAAAAATAGACCTAACCTAACCTTACCTTACCTAACCTTACCTAACTTTCCCCCCAGTCCTCCCCGGTATATTAAACAGAAAGAACTAACTATGATATGGTTTAATTTTACATTCTTTTGTGGACGGCGTTGATCCATCCCGGGCGGTGGAGTGTTTTGAAATACGTCACATACAACAGACCTTGCACGCAAACCCAGTTCAATTTCAGAGTATTGCTATGAAATGTATTGGGTAGTGAAAGAGTCGGGCTTCCTGTTGAAAAAGAATCCGATTTGGGCGCCATTGGTCGAGTCGTCACAATTTCGTCACTATCAATGGGAACACTCTGTCTCTTGTGGAGTTGTGACTTACCATAGCCATATTTAATACCAGTAACTTATTTTTTCTGTGCTATTTTTCATTATCGGTACATTTTCTTTAATGCGTTGTTCACTAAATATATGATAGAAAAAAAATAATGTTCACCGAGTTATTTTTGAATGGTGACTGTTAAGCTATGACATTAAGGCATTTATGGTATACAGTATACTGAAGATGTCAAGTACCACAACCTAACCTAACCTATCCTATCCTAACCTAACCTATCCTAACCTAACCTAACCTAACCTATCCCTGAGTATCCCAACCTAATCTAACCTAGCCTAACTTAATCTCATCTAACCTATTCTAATCTAACCCTAACCTAATCTAATTTATTCAAACTTTGCCTAATCTACTGTAATCTAACCAAGTCTACCCTGACCTGACCTAAGCTTTGTCAGGTTGGGTTTAGACTTCGTTTGGTTTATTGTGTGTGTGTGTGTGCGTGTGTGTGTGTGTGTGTTTTTGTGGTTTGGTGTTGGTAAAATCAGATCTTGTTTGGTGTCTGTTTTTGTGAAGTTGCCGCCATGATAAACAACATAACGGAGACATACAATGGTGGTTTGTTGCCTACTGTTGAAGATGGTCACACTATGAGCTGTAGGGTAGGTTAGGTTATGTTAGGTTAGATTGGGTTGGGTTAGGTTAGTTTAGGTTGGGTTAGGTTAGGTTAGGTTAGTTTAGGTGAGTTTAGGTTGTGTTAGGTTAGTTTAGGTTGGGTTAGGTTAGTTTAGGTTGGGTTAGGTTAGTTTAGGTTGGGTTAGGGTAGGGTAGTTTAGGTTGGGTTAAGTTAGGTTGAAATTATATTTTTCCGATGGTTTCTTCATGTGCTTTAAACGATTCTCTTCTACTTCCTAATAGGTGCATGACCGAAACGAAAATATGACTACATTTTCTTGACATTACCAATTTAATATTACTGAGAACATAATGAAGAATTTAATGGTTATTTATTTTCAGCTGTTTACTAACTAGAGTATTGTAATTTATAGCAGTTGATTGGGTGGTAAGTTGTCAGTATATTTTATTGACAAATCACAATTATTTTCTTTTTCTGTTTAATACTGATATGGATTGATCAGTTGGATCACCTGAAGATTATCCACCCCAGCTTATTTTGCCGAAACATTAACTAACTTAACCTAACCCATACTTACTTAACCTAGCACTAACCTAACCTAACATTTACTAACCTAACCCAGCTTATTTTGCCTAAACATTCACTAACCTAACCTATATTAAATTAACCTGGCACTAACCTGACACTAACCTAACCCAGCTTATTTTGCCTAAACATTAACTAACTTAACCTAACACTAACCTAACACTAACCTGTCCTAACACTAACCTAACCAAACCTCTTCCCCCCAAATAGCATTAGGTTAGGTTAGTGTTAATCTTTAGGTACATTAAACCAGGGTGGTGAATGTTGAGGTAATCCGACCAGTGTAATTTCACGGTTCACTTAGATATGAATTTATTTGTTTTCATTAATGGTCGCTAAGCAAAACAAAAAGTCGGTGGAACCTAATTGATAAATCGACTTTATATTGATCTCTGCAGCGTACGAGTGAGTCGATCATCTTGGGCAGAACCTTATAGACGTTGCTGGCTTATAAGATACTTTGTGTCTTATGGTTATCAACTACAGCATTATGAGTTCAGAGCATTTAAATTTTTATTTTTTACGCCACTGATCAGCCTGTTAGCTGCTTGGACGATCGGTTACATCTCGTTATGTTGTTAGAGACTGTTTCTGCATGTTAGATTTATCAATCAATTTTCACCTTATGTGATGGTCAGAAACTGTGGAGAGTTGGCATTGGTTGTTATGTGTAGTGGAGAGTTAAAGATCCTGGTGTATTTAATTTTTTCCCAGGGGTTGGCAAGGCTTCTTGGCATATGGAGCCCAGACAACGGTAGTGGTGGTGGACCCTGTGACTCTACAGTGTGCCCAGACACTCACCAGACACCGAAACCACGTCGTTAAGGTACAGTACAGTTGTTTGAATACACACACACCAGAACAGAGGAGTGATGGGTGATGCTATGCCATTTAAACAATTAAGAATGACTGAAGAGAGAGAGTGTATTTACTTTTTTATTTCAGATGAGTGAAAATAAATTGAAGGTACATCATTAATATGACTGATGTTTATCCATTACTCTACACAGGCAGTCCCCAAGTTTCCAACACCCACACTTATGAATGGGATCCCAATATATTCATCACAAAAGTCAATTTTTTTTTTTTTTTTATATTACTTTATATTGTTTAACATCATTTTATTTACAGGTATATACATTATTTATGTATGGGCAGGGTTGTGTTTTAACCTAACCTATCCTATGGAATTAACAGTGTTCTGACTTACAAACAGGGTCCAGGAATGTAAGCCATTTGTAACTCAAGGACTGCCTGTACAGGTGTTGTATACTAATGATGGATTGCCTGAAGCTTAGACACCTGATGACTAAATATCCTAACTACCTGGGGGTGGGGGTAGATTAGGTTAGCAAAAGGGTGTTTAATTATCAGGTGAATTAAGCTGAGGTGGCTCATCATCAAACGATCTAAAATTACAATTCTTACATGAGTGAGGCCTTTGTTATTTATGATTTCCCTGGAGGCATTTCTTTATGTCTGATGTAAAGAAAAAACAACAGTGGAAGTAAGTAAATAACAAGATAGGTTGAAAGTCGAGAGAAGAAATGGAATAGGAAACATCCAGGACATTTATCATTGTGAGTAAATGGATTCAGGGAAAGAAGTGAGGGCAGCATAAATCTCTGTAGTTCTGGATGGTGAAGGTTGTTAGTTAGTTAGTTACTGTACACCCAAAAAAAAAAAAATTATAAAATTCATTCTGGTTTAATCTTATTTTTTTCAACATTAATTGGGAAGAGGCTGGAAAGAAAGAGTTCAATAAATGTGTTGCAGGTGAGATGGAGAAAAACACGACACTACCACCAGCTGAGCGCCCCATACAGCCTGATTCTGGCCTCGGCAGACAACAGCGGCACGATCATAGTCTGGGAGGTGACGAGAGGGGAGGTGACCGCTACACTGCAGGATGGTAACAGACCCATACAAGGTGTGTCATAATTAAATAAATTAAATGTTTTACAACTTTAGGCACCCCTCCCCATACCAACGTTTGGTCTTCGAGTATTCACCAAATGAATGGTTTTCAAGGAACTAAACCCATTTATATATCGTGGGATACCTGTACCTAGAATTATTATTTGAAATACTTTGATACGATGAAAAATGTTAGTTAATGAAGGGTCTTGAGGACATGACTTACATACTCTACAGTACAAGATGTGTCTCTCTTGTATAAATAAAAGCTTTTGGCTACTGTTTGGATGGTGATATACTTTATTTTAACTTAAATTTGGCCTTTCCAAAACAGTGAAGAAAAGAAGAACTACTGTATAAAGAAGAAGTACATATAATGCTTATTAGTTGACCAATTAACAGGTAATTTGATATAAGGTGGTAACATCAACAGAGCTGGAGTGGCTGGGTGGTGTGGACGGCAGCGAGCACCTCCTGGCGGCCCTCCACCCCCCGTACTCCCTCATCATCTGGGACACCCGCCACAACAACAAACTCTGGAAGAAGTCCTATACAGAAAACTTAACAGCATTCCATTTTGATCCATTTCACTTTAATAAGATGGCATGTAAGAAGAGATCTGGTTCTTGTCTGAGTTTGTGTGATACAGTACAGTGTTCATAGCAAAGACAGGTGATAGTTACTCTGCTGGCGTGAAATTCGGAAGTAATTGTTCGTGATGAATTCCAGTTTTGTGCGGGGGATGTGTGCTGTTTGTGGAAGACTTCAGCCTCAACAAGTGCCCCTCTTCCAATGGGCGTAAGTTTTACGTCTCGACGCCACGAACTAGTCCGGGAAAGGTGGTCAACTCCATTCCTACGTCGACGAGCTCCACCTCAATAACCGACGAGAGGACCAGCACCAGAATTCGGCGCAAGATGAGGGAGCTGGTGGTCGGGGAAGGGAAGCCAAAGTAAGTTTATTGTTTCTAATATCACTCTCATTAACCTTAAGTATTGGCCATCATCTATGTTAGCTAGCTGTAGGAACAACGGCCATCGCTTAGGGAAGTTTCACGTTCCTTGTGGTCCAATTTTTGCACTTATGAGGTGGGTGGGGAGAGGAGTATGGGATCCTTGGCCTCTGAATAAGGTTTAAGTGATAGTAGATGATGTGTAAACCATGAGGAAGATTCTTTAAAGATGATTGTTTTATGGAGATCATTCCTGTGGTCAAAACTATTTCCTGTTCATGAGATGTACCGGGTAGTTAGGTTAATGAGCTCTCTGTATACGTAGGGGGAATATTATAGTGTGTTGGTCATTTAGAATTACAGTAATGGTGTTTCAACATATTTTTAGAGGATCGTAATGTAAATCTTGATGATGCCGGTTTTTGTTGCTTCTGTTTTTGGTTTTTCAGTTAATTATTATCAGGTTAGTTAATGCCCTATAGTACTTCTTCCTTATCCACTTCTTATGTTATCCATTGACATTTGATATCTCTTGTTCCGTCGGACGTGCTATCATTTTCTCATTACTGTTATGTTATAGGAATTACTAAACTTGTTATCTACACCTATATCTGTTTTGATACTTACACAACTGACCAATACACATGGATCTGTTAAATACCTGCTGTGTGTATACTGTGCAGGAGTGAGGATGTAAGTCAGTTGGCCGAGTGTCTACAGCTCATGTACCACCGCACAGTCAGGGACCAACTTCTGCTGCTGTACACGCGGGAGATCCTGGTGCTGGATCTCACCATCAACCAGACTGTGGGCATTGTAGTTATTGACCGGGCAATGTCACCCTTCAGCCAGGTTAGTTGTGGTGGTTCATGTGTGCTGCAGAAGAAATAAGAAGCAGTAATGTATAGTGTATATGTTGAGTAGGTTAATCCTCTCATCAGGTTAACTATTTTGAGAATTAGAAAAAAAAATATGTACACTTACCTGACTATTCAAGATAATTTCTTTAAAAGTTTAAAATTTTTAATGTGAAAGAATTAATCCTCTCATTTAATTCCTTATTCCACAAACAGTGCTGCCAGACATATGATACACCCATGTTTACATTACTGTTCAGGGTGTTGTAAGAAAACAAACATATTATAAATGTCTGTAATTTATTTGTTAACAAATTAATATGTAAGAAGAAAAAACAAATTCTCTTAAACTCATCATTCACATTATTGGCTAATTTTTGACAGGAATATATGTGATTGTTTATTTTGGTGTACAATATAAAGTTGTAAGACACAGGTTCAATCCTGTGTCAGACAGGGTTGATGGGCCATTATTCTGCTGTGGTGGGCACATATGGTAGTGGACCACCAGCCACTTTAGTGCCCTGGGTTGAGTTAACCCTTCTTGCTGAGGATTGACACTTCAATGAATTGTGGGAAATAGAATGGAGTAATTATTACTAAAATATTGCTGCTATAATATGAATTTCAGGTGTTGTCGTGTTGGCAGCGAGATGTTCTGTTTTGCTTACATGAGTCGGGTTCTGTCTCGGCGCACTTCCGCCGTCGGCTGCTGCCAGTACCAACATCCCCAGAGAATGACAAGGAGAACACCTGGCATGGAGGTAAACCCTTTTGCATGTGGTGTTGGTGGTACAGTACAGTAGTAACACACATACACTGAGAGAATGAAGTACTGTATATTCCCAGCTGTGGCTAAAGTATAAAGAAATATGATTACCCAACACAATGAATGGTGTCACTGGTGATCTCTTTCCAAGGTTCCTCGTCACCTCTGCCAACTGTTAATGGGCTCTACACGTGTGTGTCAAATGGCTCACCATTCTGCAATATATTCATCAAAGTCCTGGGAAGACACTTCATTCTCCCACTGTGCCTCTTACTTTGTGTCCTGGGTTCAATCACTGACCTGGGACATGTGAGAAGGGTGTTATCTAGTGTGACATGACCAAACATGGCAGGTTTTCTCCTGTACTAACACCGGACATAATGTGTTGCAGATGGCGGAGGTGTCGGAGAACAGTACTATGAGGTGATGTACGACCGTAAGTGCCACTCAGAGCATCTCCGCCTCAACAAGCAGAGCCGGCCTATTGGACTCACCCTTGACCCCGTGTCAGAGAAGCAGATGGGTGAGAAAAACACCTTATTTTTGTTTGTAGTCTTGGACTTTTTCTCTCACTCTCCTTGTTTGTCTCTTCCCCTCCCCCTTTCTCTTCCTCACCATCAGGGCCATAACCAGCCTTGATCAAGCCCAGGGCAACGGCTGAATTTGGCTCTCCCCTCCCTTTACGGCTCCCCCACCGCCACTAACCCTCCACCCCCTACAACACCAATTATATCAATTATATCAAGGGATTGATTAGACACTGATGATGATGATGTATCAAGACTTGAACAAATTAACTTCAAGAACTGGAATAATTATCTATAAGTAGTCAGCAATTTGCTGCTCAAAACACACATAGTCTACATTCAGTTCAGAAAATACCATAGCCAAGTGTATTGATTAATGTTTCATTATAAAATTCTTTTACTCTCCAAATAAACAGATTCAATAATAATCTTGGACAATTCTGATGACAGATTGACCAGTTTTTACTCTTAATCCTTAAAAGTAACTTTATTTCTCCAATATTAATTATCATAATACACACTCTAAAAAAATGCACAGTATATCAAGGCTCATAAATATCAACTAACTAAAAATGCAGCAATTAAAAAAATAAAGTCTAATGGTGTGTTAATTACATCAGCACATATGAGGCACCTACAGTAATATAACTGACAACTAAGAATGCATATTAAGAATGATTCTGGAACATCATTTATTACAGAATCACTTTTCTTGGTTGCAAAGTCACCAATTACACTGTCAAAATTCATATAATTTGCCATCTTCTGTTCAATTGATACAAAAGCTATGTTAGATACACATTCTTGGGCCATAGATGAACGCAAGTATTTCTTAGTTAGTTTCACCTTGCTAAAACTGCGTTCACAGGAAGCAACGGTGACTGGAAGAGTTAAGAATATCCTCAGAGCTACATCAGTATTGTGATATACATCTTCAAGAGAATATGTGTAAATCATATTCAACAGATCCAGTGGAGTAGCAGCTGATACATTTGTCAACTGTGCATCTGCCTGAAACATTAAAGATTCTATTTAAGATGCAAACTCATTTTCATCTAAATCACTTGGGTATACAAAAGCAAGGTCAGATGCACTCTTCTTCAGGTTGTCAGTAGTAAAGGATGACAGGGCAGAGCCATGAAGAAATGAAAACTCCTTTGAAATACTCACCATTTTTTCAAATCTCCATTAGATCTGTGTGATGATAACATCATATGTTAAATTGCATTCCCAAATTGTTATATTGACTCATGAAAAGTGTTAATAATAAATATATTTAATACCCGGTATTTGTAAATTGGAGATTATGAATTAACGTATCCAGTGTAGCAGTAGTACAGTACTGTACAGGCTTTTCTCTAGAGTAATCTGAAAAAAAAAATCATAAGCAATTTGGCACCCAGGGCGGCTGCCCCTTCTGCCACCCACTAGGCATGCCCCTGCTCACCATCATCAATGGAAGTTAGCTGTAGGGATGGTGGGCATCACTAGTGGAAATATCATGGTCCTTGCATTCCATATTTGTATGGTTAGTGAATCATTAGCTGTTGGTTAAAGGTTGATCAGTTTATTTACTAATTATCTTTACTCGTTTTTTTGTGTTGGGTGAATCATGAGACACATTATCCTCAAAAAAGGGAGGAAATGATAAGGTTTAAATGGTGTAGGAAACTGTAGATAGTGACTGAAAAGAGAGAAGCTAAGAGGGAGCTTTTTAGTTAATTATGTAAGAACACTTTCTCTTTAGTTAATCTTCATAAAAATACAAGGTGTGGTATTTATATCTGACACATTTATTAGTGCTATAAAAGATTCATGAACAATGTAAATGCTGTTTATAGTACATGGTTGGAGAGCACACAGATCTGAGATTATTCTGTGACATTTATCTCTTTAAAATTACCTCAGACAAATGAGCCCTATTAGAATTGTTGCATTTCTGACAGAATTGAGTTATGGAATTTGTTTGAATGAAGAGCTTCAGCAGGTTATTCTTTTCGCTAGGTCGCAGTGTTCAGTCATTTGAAACTTTTAGTCATCGCCTGCAACATGGGAGAAAAATGATTAGCTACGCCAGTACTGCTTCTGGCAATCAGGATTACAAATGTGTCAAAAATTAATGCAACACTTCCTCATCAGCCATGGTGTTGGGTGATGGTCGCGTGGTGTTCAAACAAGTCACTGCCTACCCGACCCCTGGACGACAGGCCATCAGTACGCCGCTCTTCACCCCCGGGGCTCCCTCGGCGCCATCACAAGGACCACACTCTGGCCTCAACATTGCCGACAATCACTTTAGCTTGGCCAGTGCACCAGCCGGGGTTCACATCAACATGCCCAAGACCTCGCTGGCTGATATGGTGAAGCCGGCCTGGGCTCTGGCAGATAATGTCAAGGTTAGTTTTTGGTTCAGTAAAATTGTCATACAAATTCACATTTGATTTAGGTAGACAGTTCAGTTTGCATATACACACTACAGGTATACAGCTCAATATTTACAATATATACACAATGCAGGTATCTATGTGATATGAAATAAATCCACAGATCCATAGATTGTACTGTAGTTATTTTTAGATCTTATTCATTTGTTTCATCCTTTGAAAGCTTTTCTCTAATACCTGTAGTTACATTTAGTAAGATGTCTTGGATAGATTGATAAGTACTGGTAGGTTAAGTCTAAACTGAACCTAGAAATTTGAAGCCATTGACTAAGGGCATTTTTGAGAACATTGTAAAGCAGCTAAATATAATAAGTTAAGTTAGAGTAGCTTTGAAATATTCTGCAACCCATATTTTAATTTTTATCCACACTATGGTATAAAATTGACATCGTTTCCTTTATTATCTCAGGAAATTGGGCACCGGGTCAACTTGAGAATTTTGATGACAGGTCTGATGCCTGCCATGTCTCCTCCCCCCCTAGTAATCAGAATGTGTCCGCCTCTCACCACACGAAACATCCAGCAGTATGTGCCGCGCCTGGCTGCCGGCACACAGTCGGGGGTGGTGCAGGTGTTTAATGTTGCTACGGGAGTGTTGGAGAGAGAGTTTGCCCTCCACACTTACCCGGTCAGGTTAGTCTCTCCATCGTGTGTATATCGTCACTGGTTCAGTATAAACTTGTATTTCCACCCATCTTATGTCCTCTCACTTATATTTCATTATTCATTCATATTTGTTAAAACTTATTTATCTTTTGTGTTTCACAGAGGAGTTGAATGGACAAGCTTAACTTCCATTCTGTCATTTGGTCATCAGCCCCTCACAAACAGTCAAGGCCTCGTGCGTAATGAACTCATGTACACAGACATCCTCACAGGACGAACTATTACCTTGAGGCCAAACAAGAGCGATGAAACGAGTATTGATATGGTCAGAGTGTCGTACTTGAAGTGAGCTTATTTTTAATATATGAAACCCAGTTTTTAGTAGCTATGAATTATACACTTATACCTTCCTCTGTAGTTGCTATACATTGCTATACATACTGTACTTATTCCTCTATCAATTATAAATTTTACATTACTATACTGTATGTAATAGTCCCCTCACCTTGCCCTACATTTTTACAGGCAGTATTTCATCGTGGTCTTCCGAGAAGACCCATTTGAACTGTGGGATGCAAGAAAACTGGTGCCTCTCCGAACGATGCCACGCCGATTCCCACGAGTGTCGGCCCTGGAGTGGTCCCCAACCAGTCATGTTAAGACACGGCGAGACTCGGAGAGCCACAGAGCCTCAGAGTCTGAGCCCGAGAAGAATGAGTCTGTGGTTCCCAAGGAAGCACCACAGACAGAAGTGTCAATGACCGAATCTATGTTGTCACTGGCAGATGTGGGTAAGTGGGTCTGTATGTTAACATCCAGAAGAGAATAGGAAATCTTAATTGTTCAGTACTATACAGGAGTTCTTAACCTGGGGAGGGCGAGATGTCTCGATCTTTCTTGGGAGATGCAAAAGCTCGGAGAAAGTGGTCAACATATCCGTCACTCGGAGAAGAGTTTATTCTTTAGGGGTTGTGGAGACAGTGTCAGTCTTTGGTGGCTGCAGCTACACACAAGTTAAGAGCCACTTGTCTAGTGTCTCATATTTCAGTTGGAAGTAATTAAGGAAGTTTTCTTGAGGTAAAAACATTCAAGATGAAGTTATTGGTTTACACTACAATGTTTGTATATTTGGCAAGAAATAATAGAACAAATATTGAGAACTGACATAACACATCAAAATTATAAAGCAAAATATTCAGATATAAATATACATCTACAGGTACAATATATTTATACACTTAATTAAATGTAACAGAGCAAGAAAATATGATGATGGACGCACCACAGATTAACATCCAGATATAAATTTTGACCCTCAACTGGCGGCTAAGGATACCCCCCTCCCCCCCCCTCCTAAACGTGTGTGGAAATGAATGCAAGGAACAAGTAACGTCCACTGATGATGGCCACTGTATAAGGGTTAACAACTACCACATATGTACCGTTAATGGAGGTTTTAGAGCTGCCGTGGTGCGTCGTCTACTGATGTTGGTCCATGACTATACAGTATAGCTGGAGCATTTCATATCTCTCCTTCAGGTGGAGACAAGACGAGTATTGCCAAAGAAACGTTCGTGTTTACCGACACCGAGGGAACACTGTACCACTTCTCAGTCGAGGGCAACGTCATCAAGGACGGAACAAAAGTACCTCCAGATGTAAGTATGTGTGTGCGTGTGTGTGTGATATATATGTAATAATAATAATAATTAACGGTTTATTGAAAGAGCTTGGCAGCCAGAAGGCTGAAAATATACAGTTACATATTTGGGGAATGGGTTACGAATTACAAATAATATACAAGTAACATAAGTGACACAAATAAGACATATAATAACTAGATGGGAAAAACTCAAACTACAGTTCATTTCAACATAGTGACAGTGTAAGGAGCAGTGTTTACTGGGAGTGAATACACTGATTTATTACAAGTTATTGATAATTTTTACAATGGTTGGGACTGGGCTGTTCTTATAGCGATCAGTTCGTGCACGTATGGGCTGGATGCGGTTGTGGTGTCGAACAGCAATTCTCGGACAAGGGATCTCAGGTGGTAGTAGGAGCCGGTGTCGGGATGGTGTAGAAGCTTCTTACCAAATTTGCAGATGAGGTCGTGGTGATGGTCAGTGAGAGTCGAAAGGGTCAGTGTGTTGAGCACTCTGATATGTGGAGCAGGAAGGAGAGAATAATCTGTATGCCCTCTTGCACTTTTCTAGGTGTTTACGCTGTGTGGCATTTAGGAGGAAGACCAGGTGGGGAGGCATAGGTGAGCTTGGGAAGTATGAATGTTGAAACACTGAGGAGCCTGTGTGCAGGAACCCGAGGACTTGAGTCGGCGGAGGAGGTGGAGACGAAAACTGGAGGATTTGACAACTTCACTGACGTGTGGTTTCCAATTTAGTTTGTTGTCTATGGTGACGCCGAGGAGCTTAGTGGAATCTACAACCTGGAGTGTGTTGGGACCTAAAGTAATGGAAGGGGGTGGGACAACGTCGGAGGAGAGGTTGATGTGCATAACCATGGTCTTGGTATGGTTGATGGTGACGTGGTTGTTGGTGGCCCAGTTTTGGAGACTGTTCAATAAATCCTGAAGGGCAGTATAGTTGGGAGCAGAATTGTTGACGCTGATCCCAATGGTGTATATTTCAGCTTTGGCAGGGTTTCTTAGGCATCATTGATGAGCATATGGCTATGAGTGGTCCTATCTTTGGTGCCTTGGGGGACGCCACAGGTGAGTGACTGAAAGGTGGAGATAGCCCTCGGAAGCGCATAGCTTGGCGCCGGTCACTGGGAGGAAGTCTGTAAGCTTATGGTATAAGATCAAGCCCGAGGTCAATAGCTTTGTTGATGATTATATTGTGGTCGACTAGGTCAACGCTTAGTGAAATCACGAAGGCGATAGCTATGATTTTCGTTTCGAGATGTATGGTATATGTAATCGAGAAAGCTGACAAGACAGTGAGTGGTGGAGGAAGTTTTCATTTCATGTTGCCAAATTGCTGAGGTGTCTACGACTCCTGCAATATCAGCATAAGCCCAGTCGAACACAAAACTTTCACAGATTAGGCTGGGTATTGGGGTGATTGCAATAGGTCGTAGCTGATTTAAGGATTGTGGGCTGGTTGACTTGGGCACTGGTGATACATAAGAGGTCTTCCAGTCAGCTGGGCATCTGGCTTGACTGAGAGAAGCATTGATGATGGAGCAGAGGGGTTTAGCAAGCTCCGGGGAGAACTCCTTGAAGAGTTTCATTGGTAAGTCAATGGGGGTGGTAGAGCGTTTTAATTTTAGTTTGTCCAGGCGTTTTGCTACGTCAAATTCTTCTACTAAGTCAGTGGGAAGGGGGGCTGGTAGGTAAGCAGGGAGAGTGGTTGTGTCAAGCCGTGGGAGCATCTGGCATATAGTAGCGAAATGGTTATTTGTTTGCTCAGCTGCGTCAACATTAGTGAGATGGCTAAGGAAGGGGAGGGGGTGTGTCTTATTGTTTAGTCCACAGAGTTCTTTAAGCTTACCATACCATTGACTGATGTTGGTCTGCTTCAGGTGTTGTAATTTGGTTGGGTAGTGGGACTTCTTTGCAGTGCGTATTTCGCGGATGACTCGGTTGCGAAGGGACCTGTAGCGGATGTGGTCATTGAGATGAAAGGCTCTGTCTCTCTGTTGCATAAGTCTTTTGATCCGAGGTGTGATCCAGGGCAAGTCAGCTGGGTGAGATCTGACGGACTTCTCGGGGAAGAAGTGGTGGTGAGCTTCCGTGGTGGTGTTGGTATAATTTATCCATTTGGTTTCCACGTCATCCACGCTAAGTACTTCAGTCCAGGGATGGTGAACTATCCACTGCCCGAAGAGGCGCACTGCAGAGTCAGTAATCGGCCTGTAGGTCTTGATGTAGGGTCTCTGTACTTGAGTGGGAGTGGCAGCTGGGGACCAGAGCACTGATAAGTGTGTGCTACACCCGATAGGAGGCATTGGTTGAGGTGGTTGGTACTGGTCCGCTAAGTCAGTTAAGATAAGGTCAAGGGTATTTTGACCGTGTGTGGGGAAGGTCACAACTTGTGATAGTGATAGCTGGTCCTGGATATCAGTGGTGTCAATTTCATTTAAATCCCCACATAATACTAACTTGGCACATGGGTACCTAACTCTGAGGTGGTCTGAGGTGGTGATGAGATGATTGATAAGAGTGTCTCTGGTGGGTGATCGAGGCGGATGGTATGCCACACAGATTATAATGGAAGCAGTGTTGCGTGGGTGGGCCCGTAGCACGACACGTACCCATAATGCTTCCACATCTGCTGGGACTTGAACATCCGGCGTGATGGAGCGTGATCTCTCCTGGTGGAAAGAGCGATATCCAAAAAACAGTGGTGAGGGTCCAGGGCCACGTTTCCAAGCCTCAGTATGGGCAACACTCGCGGCGGAACCTGACTGTAGTTGCCAGCTGTAGGTTGTGTGTGTAAAAGGTAGTATGCGGTAAGAGAAACTGACCAAAATATGATAAACTGGCCTGGGTGATCAGAGATGAAACTGAAATGAGGCTGACCAAAATATGAGAAAATATGAGATAAACTGGCCAAAATATGATAAACTGACCAAAATATGAGATAAACTGACCAAAATATGAGATAAACTGACCAAAATATGAGATAAACTGACCAAAATATGAGATAAACTGACCAAAATATGAGATAAACTGGCCAAAATATGGTATGATTAATTACCTGGGACAAAACAAGTATTTTACAGACTGTAGAGAAATAGGAACAACAAGTTAATGTGATGTCAGACTTCAGCGGTCTCATAAAACCAAGAGACTTTTTGGCAGTTGGTGCAGTCCTCTCTAGATTCTTCCTATTTGTTTATTAATGTCCTTTTCAGTAGGTGTATCTTAGGTGCCTGTGATAGAAGACCAAATAATAGTCACTTGAGCCCAGTTAAAGTCAAGCACAGTACAACACTACACTGGATGTCTATGTACAGTAATTAGTTCTCTGTTCCTTCAGTCTCAGATGAGTGTCATTACTTCAATTGCCTGGAAGAGCCACGAGATAGTTCTTAGTGACTCTGATGGCAACCTCATTGTGTGGGACCTGAAAACCCGTATATCCAGACACATCGCCACTCATCGCGGGTGGATCCGTAAGATACGCTTTGCCCCCGGACGTGACAACATGAAACTTGTTGTACTGTTTGCTGATGGGATTGATGTCTGGGATGTGAGAGATGTGAGTAATTCATGTTTTATTACTGTATTGTTTGATAATACTGTATGGATACTTTTATACAGTACAGTATTAAGGATGTGATTTAAAATGCCATTTACAGTAGTATACAAGTCTCTCTCTCTCTCTCATTATTTAATTTTTTTATTAATCAATCTAGTATATTATGTTCTTACATTTATTGTATCATTATGTTAGGTGGTGATGGTGAGTCAGATCAAGTCTCCTCGTGACATAGTGAAGGTGGTGGACGTGGACTGGGGTGCGTCTGACCGACCTGTCCTGGCGACCATTGACGGATGCCTTCGGGTGATGGACATGGCCCTCAAGTCTTCCAGCACACCAATCTACCAATATTGTACTAAAGGTTTGTACTAAAGAGAATTTTACATTTAGTTTTGAAAGACATATCCAGTAGTTTGATGTTAATGAAGTGCTTGAAGGAAGAGTCCATGTTACTGTTGATTGTGGTCATGCCGCACCTTGGTGGAAAAAGACTTCTTTTTTTCCGGGCCCAGGTCACTGACCCACATCGGGGCCTGGGAGGTGAAAAATGTAATACGTAATAATAATAATAATAATAAAAAACCATAAAGAAAAAAGAAAAGAAAAAGAGAGAAACAATACTGTACATATGTATGTTGTGTTGTCAATAGTAAGAGAAACAATTGAGACCCTGCAATTGTGTGTAAATGAGGCAGAAAGTTAGATCAGCAACCTGGGACTTGGTCACAATTTTCGTGATGCCATATGGCAGCAGGGTCTACCATTAGACAACACATTATGCTTCCAATATCTTCCCAGGCGGTAGTACCCCACTGTTTGGTAGCTGCCTACTACTTGTAAGACTTGTAAGAAAATTAATTCATATCAATAGACACAAACACTAGAAAGCTTTTTTAACAACACCTGGCACCATATTATTTGTCTCCTTGTGTATAGGTTCCCTCTGAACTGGATGAAATCATCTAGCATTTGACAAAAAAAAAAGAAAGAAGTGGCATCCTTTAGTTAAGGCGTTAATATCCTCTTCTTTTGCCGAGTATAACAGAGTGAACGAGGTAACTGTCCCCACAGTGAATATTTTACATGTATATTCAGGGTGCGCTGGGAGGTTACAGGTTTATAAAATCCCATTATCCATAACTGTTCATAATATATACTGTGAACCTGTTCTTGAGTACAGGTATACATGGAGGATTTAACTTCAATGGTTACTCAACTAAATCGGAGGACAGCGGGCAAATCTCCACACAGGATCTCAGTGGGTCTCAGCCATTCCTAGCAAGCTGAAAACTTACATATTAAAATGTTCAGTTTATCTTTGTAAATTAGAGTAAAATGTATGTGTATATATAAATAATAATAGTAATAATAATAATAATAATGTTTTTCTCCACAGAGCCCATAGTGTCACCATACTTGTTACCTGGGGAGGCATCACTCAACCTACGTACTCTGATGACCCAACAGCCGTGGCGCTCACAGTACTCCCTATCATTCACGGGGGAGGACGGCTTCACCCCAGAACAACTCCAGAGTAAGTTTCTATTTACACCATTTATCCCGTCATCTCCCGTTTAAATCATACAGTGATTGGTATTACTAAAGGATATTCACTTATAAGGTCAACAACTTGATCCTACTCTGAAAATTATGGCCGACACTAATAATTTTATCTGATATTTCATATTTTTTTATCTTTCTGAGAATTTCTTTATTTTTCAATGTTTTTAATCTATAATCACCAGTGTTGTGAGTTGTACTGTAAGAGACATATAGTACAGTACAACTCACAACGGATCTTATACATTCCTTTAGTTGTTAACAGTCCATCTTGGTGTTGAAGAGATAGGTAATGAGGTTAACATGTTTGTGTGACTCATGTATGAAGTAGACATGTATTAACAAAAGGAGGAATGTATCATAACTCCTCTATTAATGGTCGTCACAGATATAGAGGTGTGGTTGTCACGGGTACCTGCCGAGCTCCGTGAATTTTTGGAGACTTGCGGCTCGACGGCCCATCGTGCTCTGGTGACGGCACAGCTGTTTGGGGATCAGGGGGAGATAGACTTTTGGACGGTTGCCTGTCATTACCTCACACAACCTGCACTCACTCACCCTAAGGTAATGATTGGTGTTTTATTTCTCAAAAGTTGCTGTTTATCATCAAAAATTAAATCACTATCACTGGTCATTAAAAATAATTAATCAGACCAACAAAATAACCTACTGAGCATTACAAATATAAAAGCTGCGGAAAATCTAAACATTATTGTCATTTCAGTTTATCTTCGTTTACCACAAGATTGACAAAATATTTGGTGCTCGAAAAAAAGAAAATCGCACGAATGACAACTGTTTATTAATGTTTTGTGCAGGGATCTCTCTCTGTGCTGAATAAAATTGTCAGGTGTTAGCCAAAGAAAATGTCTTAACATAGGCGTCTTGTAGTGAAGGAGTCAATAACCCTGGCAGTTGGTGCAGTTCAAACTAAAAGTGACAAAAGACAAAACATCATGTTTACTGCTGATGATATAGGATAATTGGGGAGTTGTACAGTACATTACATCATGCCTGAAATTGGGTGTAAAAGATGTTTCTTTGGTCATGTGTTTCTACAGAATTATTCTACCATATGCTACTGTATTTAACTTAGATGTCAGGTCTGATGATACAGACAAGAATTATCACTTAATTTTTATTTTCTGTTGTACAGGATGAAAGCAGCAGCAGCAACAGTAGTGTTGGTAGTGCAGAGCTGATCACTCTGGGTGACTCAGCATCAGAGAAGAGTGGTGGCAGCGAAGACCTCTGTCCACCCACGGCTGTGCCTCCCTCTCACCCCCTGGAGACCACTTATCATCATCTGTGTGATGCTGCTACATACAAAGTAACTCTTGTTTTTGTTTTTCACTCTTGCAGGCCTTTAATGTTATAATTGTGAGCTTACACTGAATCTACTTCATTTGTCGGTCATTCATTCTCAAGTTTCTCATATGTATTAAATGTGGATCTCCTAAAGATTAGGAACCCTTACTTATTTCACTTAATTAAACACTCTAATGCTAACTTAACATAACCTAGTGTAACCTAACCTAATCTAATCAGCCTAACCTAACCTGATCAACCTAACCCAGTGTTTCTCAAGCTGGGGGCCATGGCCCCCAAGGGGGTCACAGCAAGATTTTAGGGGGGCCATGGCAGGCTGTGTAAGTTGTATATGTTTGGAGAAAATGTGGAAACTCTGACTCAACTTTTTTTTTTACTTTGCCTTGTTAGGGGAGAAATCTTTTTTTGTCATTGTGTGAAATCATAATACCCGTACGGTACAGTTTTGATATTTACATAGTATGGTGCAGCAGCTAGTTTTTCATTTCCAACGGATTCGCTCAGATTGCACGATTCTAGTTCCTGTTCAGACGAATTCCTTGATCTCAGAACGATTCTGCTGCCAGTGAACTCTATGAAGAAAAATCTCTGACTGTATTCTGGTGCTAAGTGTGTCAGTCATATCCAAAAGTTAGTGAGATCACACTTTGAGTCCTCTTGCCATTTTCTACTACTTATTTATGTGAATCTGGTTTCTCCACCTTCTTCAAATAGAGAATAAAAGCCAAAACCTGTTACTTGTGGACCCAGACCTGAGATGTGCTTTATCAGTGACTCGACCTCGAAGCAGTCGACTGAGGAAACACTGTCATCCATCCCAGTGAACTGTAACAAAATATGTATTGTTTGATGACTGAAAACATTAAAATAAAGGACCAACACAGTTTATTTTCTCATCATTATTTGTGAGGAGCTTGGGAGAGAACTGAAGGGGGGCCATGTTGAGAGTTCCTCATGAGGGGAATGGAGTGAAAAAGTTTGAGAAACACTGACCTTACCTAACCCCCCTTTTGGCATTAGAATATTTAATCATCAGGTGAAAAAGCAGAGGTTCTTATTCTTCATGAAAATCCTGAATATTTGTTGAAACAGACATTGATACTTCAGTTTATTACACTTTATCATATAATTATAATATAAAACAAGAAGCATTGAAAAGTTCACTAAGAATTATGTGCTACAGTTACAGACAAAATTCCCTGATGAACACTTGACAATATCTTGCATCTACTTGTGGGTCATATAGATGTTTGGTGCACATCTGATAACGTTACTTTTCATCGCATATCGTTGGAACTACAAACTGGAAAAATTGCTTCTCAGTACAAAGAAAAATATGAGAAAATATATTAAAATTCCAATGCTCCTCCCCTAACAATCCTCAAGTGTCCAGGAATTTTATCTGCAACTGTATAAATAATTTTATTCTTCATGTTATAATCAGTACAGTTTGTCTGCCATATAAATGATAGCCAGTCATGAGGTGATCGCCATAAGAACTTTCTCTACTTTTTAACAGCATCATGAACTAGAGCGTTTAGCCATACATGAGAGCAAAAACCTCGAAGGTGCACAGAGGGCAACTCTTGGCCGCTGTTTGGCCGTGATTGGCGAGAGAGATCGTGCCGTCAGACTTCTGTTGGACGCCGATGCCTCAAACCAACACTTCTACACAGACTGCCTGCGGGCGTGCCTGCTCGCTGCCACTCATCACTCCACTCAAGCTCAGTCAACAATCAAACTTGTAGCAACTAACTTAATAGCTGCAGGCAACATATGGGAAGGTCAGTTCTTGTTAGTGTGTGTTTGAGGTGTTTCCCTTGCCAGTATATTAAGTATTGTCCACAAAGGTTCTGTTTCTATAACAAGCAACTTTATAGATTTCTGAATAGACCATACAGACTTTATTATATACTGAAGGAGAGGTTAGAGCATAATGAGAAATAAAGAAAGGAAAGTAAACAGATAAAAAAAACATTGCAGCAAAAATAAGACACAAGATTCTGATTCGTGGCCAACAGATAAAAAAAATTAACTCTTGAAATATTGTTTATTACTCCAGAATGATATAACTTTCTCAATGCTGATTTTTATTATACAGTATCTATATTATGTCTGTATTACAGTACTCTGAAATAAGATCTCTTTATCATTTTTTCTAGGTGTTGAATTGTTGTGTTTGATTGGCAAGGCGGGTGACGCATGTCGCTACCTGCAGTCATATGGTCACTGGGAGAACTCAGTGTGGCTGGCAAAATGTGCTCTTCCACTTCAGGAGTCCGTTGATATTCTAAAGCGCTGGGCCCATCACCTCATTACTTCTGCCAACAAGGTACAGTACTGTATCTCGTATAAATCATTACACTTATGGCTACAATATATTTTATAAATCCTGACAATTCTGACAACATTTTATCTCATATAAATCCTTACAATTATTACTCACTTTACCAGGATCAAGGTGTATGTGCCCTGTTGTCTGTGGGCAGCATCACAGCAGCGCTAGAACAGTTGGTACAGCAACATTATCACCAGAGGGCAGCATTGTTACTTGCAGCAGCTCAACAACTCCAGGTAGTGCCCAACACACAACAGCAGCAGCAACACCCATTAGCTACACCACTGGGCACACAGTCTGGATTCTCTCCTGTTCTCTCTGGTTCTACTTCCATGGCTTCCTTTGCAGAGAACATTCATAAGTAAGTTTAGTTTAAGTTAGGTTAGGTTAAAGATTTGAACAATTACTTGTATGCTGTCCTAACAAGAAGAAGAATCCATTTTCCTCTTAATAAATATACTGTATCCACTTGAGACATTGCTCAGTAGGACAGTAGCAGATGACACTTGTTAGAACCAACAGATGAGTGAAAAGGTGATCTTTTTGAAGGTGTTTATTTAATCATCAGGTGAAATAAGCGGATGTTTCTAATCTTCACGAGTTGTAATGTTACTTCATCTGAAAAATACAAGAACAGGTGACATGTTAGTTAATCTCTAAACATACCTTCAACTATAAAGCCATGGACTCCTTGATTCAGAGCCTCAAGTTTTCTCCATATGTAACATACACCTTGGGCCCTGGACATAGTCTTCAGTGATCAAAAAAGATTATGTGGACAGTGTATAGTACAGTGCATTGAAGATCTGAATTCATTAATGTCATAGGTATAGTGTAGTTGACATTTTAAATATTCTTAACATGGTGTAGTTAAGTCAGGGGTCATTATTTTACACTAATTATTCGAATTTGCCAGTTTTAATCAAAATCCCTAATCAGCATGTGGAGGAATACAGTACTTCTGAAATTTGAATAAAATCAGAATTGTGACCCAAAGTAATAAAACTAAAGGTAATAGGTCTGGTTAGGTTTCTTTTGGCCAGTGAGGCCTTTTATTCAGAGAGTGAAAAGTACAGTAAAACCCCGCTTTACGCAGTTTCACTTTACGCGTTTCCACGTTTACGCGGTACCCTGCCGAACACGGAATGCTCACTTACGCGGTGCGTGTACCCTTTTACGCTGAGAGCGGCTGGCGGTCCTCTCGAGCCTCACCATTTTTGGATTAAAATCTCCCGCCATCTCTCGCGCCATCCCGCCATGTTGGGTAAGCGGCGCGAGTAGGTTGCGCAGTGTATGTCTTTGTTGCGTTATCGGTGACGTCATATGACGTATCGGACTGTGATTGGGCCAAGCATCCTTACCTCCCTCCCCTGCTAGCTGTGATTGGTTTAATGTACTATGACGTGCCCCGCCGCGGGAGCGTTCAAGCCCCTTGACCTACCCGCGTCAGTTACACCCCTCCCGACTACACTGTGTATATTGGTATCCATTGTTCCATAAGAATGGCTTCCACTGGACCACCACCGCCACCACAAAGAAACCTTGCATTACCTGGACCCAGCCACCCTAAGCCAAAGAAGATACGACGTTCCCTAAGCTACGAAATTAAATACAAGATCATCCAAGAGTTGGAGAAAGGAACAAGACAGGTTGATCTCGCGCGCCAGCATGGTGTTAACGAGTCTACGATCCAGACAATTAAGAAGGATGCAGCCAAGATAAAGGAGCACATGAACATCACAAAGTCTACAGGTGCTTCTATGATCAAGTATTGTCACAATCAGGTGCTTCTCAAGATGGAAAAATTACTTGTGAGCTACTTGATTCGTCAGGCGCGACGGAACATGGCTGTGAACACGCGCTCAGTTAAGGAGTACGCACGTGAACTGTATGCTGCAGTGTCACGTAAGATGGGAATTGCAGAGCCCAAACCCTTCGATGCTTCCTCTGGGTGGTTGCAGAGGTTTAAATAGAGGAACAAGATCACCAACATTAACATTGGTGGTGAAGAAGCTAGTGCTGACTGTGTTGCGGCTAGGGATTTTCCTCCGTTTTTACGTGAGATTATGGAGGAAGGACAGTACACCGACGACCAGGTGTTTAACATGGACGAATCTGGTCTTTTTTGGAAAAAGCTATCTTCCAAGACCTTCGTTGTGAAGAATGCCAGCAAGTGTCGGGGCCGGAAGTTGCAGAAGGAGCGCATCACCGTCCTGTTTACCACCAATGCCTCCGGTACCTGTAAGCTCAAGTTATCGGTGATCCACACAGCACGCAAGCCGCACGCCTACAAGAGCATGGACATGACCAAGCTAAATGTCCACTGGCTGACCGCATGTAAGGCGTGGATGTTCTTTACACTGTCCCTCTCCTGGTTTGATGACTGTTTCGTTCCCGACGTTAAAAAATTCTGTGAGCAACAGAATGTTCCATTCAACATTTTGTTGCTGCTTGACAACGCACCAGGACACTGTTAGATCATCACCCCAACGTAAAAGTGGTCTTCGTTCCTCCCAACACTACGTCATTAATCCAGCCCATGGACCAAGAATTGATCTGTAATGTGAAAGCTGCATTCTCTGCAAAGAAATTCAAGCTCCTGAACGACTATACCAACATCAAGGATGAGTTGCGTAAGCTGGGTGACACCGATAGCAAGAGCGACGAGGACGAGGAACAACAATTGGCAGAGCAAGAAGTACTTGTGAAACAGTTTTGGAGAAAATTCAACGTCAAGAAAGCTGTGGACTTCTTGGTGGAGGCATGGGATCAGCTGTCTGTAGCAACGGTTCGTCACGCATGGAGACATGTGTTGCAAGGTATTCCAGGTGGGAGGCAGAGTCAATTTGTGACTGGTGAGGTTCAGACTGTTGCAGTAGCCGTGAACCTTGCCAGAGAAGCTGCGCAGAGTGTTACAGCTGCAGGCTTCTCCGAGACCACCAACGACGACATCCTAGAGGTGATAAGGGATCCTAATGTGACTGCCGACGAGATGTTAGATGATGATGACGTCAGTGAAGAGGCAGGTGGTGCGTCATCCCAAGAAGAACGCCAGTTATCGCATAGTAACGTAAGGGGTGCCATCGAGTGTGTTGAGAAACTCAAGTTCCTCCTTTCCGACGACCCTGGCGATAACCGGTATGAAGTCTTCACTACCCAGCTGTTGCAGACTATGGACCCCTACATCAAGGTGTATCACGACAACATCAACACCAGCTGTCAGCAAAGTATTACCGAGTTCTTTGCCCACCACAGCCAGCCCAAGCCAGTGATAATTACAAGAGACAGAGACAGTGATGGTGACTTTGAGGGATTTGTCAGGGAGGCACTAATAAGTGTGGATGACAGTGATGAAGACTCACCTGAGAGCCAGTAGCCTGCCCTCTGCCTCGGAGCCAGCCTCCATTCCCGTACGCCGACCCACCTCTTCTACTAATGTAAGTGTTAATCCCAACCTTGTTTTTTCTAACCTAACCTACAGTATATTATTCTCTTATTGATTGTTCCCTTCTATATTATGTGTGTGTGCATACCATCATAAAGTTAAGATGTTATTTTTACTAAAACGTACGTATTGTGTCGGGAAAAAGTGGAGTTTGGGGGTCTGCCCGGTCTCTATTTCAATTAATCCCATATGTTATGTTGTTCACTTTACGCGGGCCGCCGTGGGTTCAATTGACAGCGTAAAGTGAGGGTTCACTGTAATGTGTTTAAATGATAAGAGTCGGTCTATATCTGTAGTAAAACATAGAAAGATGTGATTAAAAACTTATTGAATAATGTGTTATGGGATTCTTCAAACCCCTCCAGCATTTTACTTCCTTCATTTTCTGCTACTTTGTCAACTTTGCATGCAATAGTAAACAAATCCTTATTGAAGTAGATGAAGTGTGTTAGGGAACTGGATATCAATAAACAAACAAAAGGATTGATTGATAACCTTAATACTGTATGATAATGTTTACACTTGGTGTACCATGGTAGATGGTAACTGTTTATTACTTACAGAAAGTATGTCCTCCACCTGTTCAGCCTGGGTAACAGACCAGCCGTGTCCTACTTCTGCCGTCTTATGGGAGAAAAGGGACAAAGTCTTCTACAGGAGCTGGATTCACTCCAGTAGGTCAAGTCTTTGTCCATTTACTTCCTTTATACATCTGTGTTCACCACAAAGTGTGACAAACATTAATAATGTGATATTTCTTATGTAACAAAACAAAAACCTTTAATGCTCCTCCTATTATAGTTTGACTTTTATAAATTCTGTCAGGAAGGAGGAATGAAGAGTTCATATTTCACATTTAAAAAATGTGAAATTTTAATATGGAATATTATTCCATTATGGTTTTATGTTTTAGCAGTTAATCCAAGATAGTATTGGAGAGTCCTTAGCACTAAATTATTTATTTTTAAGTATTTCTGCAACCAGTCAAGATTATTTTGAAGCCCTATTTATTGCATGGCATTGGAGGTAGTAACAGAATGTTATTTTAGGTGGGTGACAGATATGGGATATGGAGTCATGGTTTCGAGGTGCAGTAATCTCTCGCCAACCACAGGGGTTAAGTTCCTGAAAAACCCTCTGATTGGTAAGACTAAAGGTTTATGGGAAATGGGGGTTAGGTTCCACGGATCCAGATGACACTAGTCAAAGCCTAAGTTGAGTGTTCCTTCACTAAACAATACCTGTATTGTAAATTTAATTAAATTTGAGTCAAATACAAATAAAATAGATTAATATAAATTAAATAGTTCAGTAATATAAATTTTACAGTACAGGATTATTTACCTTTATGATATTGAGGGTGATGTGGAGAGAGAGGTGGTTGTTATGAGGGGACAGAGATCCTTAGTGCATCCCACTAACGTTATACTCTTCCCACGCACTTGTCTAAGCCGTGCTAATACGCGGAGACATAAAACTAAATACTGCAGCTGGTGAAATGGTGTACAGAGTGAAAACTGTGGATGTATGGAATTTGAGGATGGGAAATCTTCAGTTGGTGAGGGCTTTCTGTAATGTCATATACATGGGTACTGTAGTTTGGTTATGTGATGAGCATCATCCTAGATAAGACAGTACAGTATATAGGAGTAAGGTAAAAGGTGCTAGAGTGATATGAAGACAACCAGTGTCCTGGGAAGGAAATGTAGAGTAAGTAAAGAAAAGGTTTCCTGGGGATTAAAACATGCTAAAAATTCATGAGTAGTTATGAGTGGCCTTGGTGCAGCAAGCCCTTCTTGGGAAGTGTTGAAGGCTTAAGAGATAATGGTAAATTGGTTGAATTACTGAATCCATCCACTCATTCAGTCCTCTCTGAGTGCTTCGTTGTAGGAGACGATGAAGCCTTTGCTAAGCTTTCTTTCTGTTATGGATATAAGCAAAGTTTTTCTTTCTTATTTTTGGCCATAGTGGCTATGCTTGTAACATGGTACAGTACTGCTTTTCGATTCACACCGAGGGTAAAGACAAGTGGGACAGCAGACACGGAACTGTGCATTTACTATTCCCCGTTGGAAAGTAGCTTCTTAGTTGTAGTGGTCTAGGATAAAGATGTTAGTTTTTCTTTTGTAATTCTGTACATCAGAGGCCAAGATGCATTTGATAGGGAAACAAAGCTGTGTTTTGGAAGCAAATTTTGGTCTTGTTTGGAATAGAGGGATAATCAGGTGTGCTCTAAGGCAAAGTAAACATACTGTGTAATATTTTTCTAGCATTGCTATATATTTCCAATATACTTCTCATACATGGGTAGTTGAATATGAATAAGCCAAAGTATTAGTTTTAAAATAGTACTTACACATTCCTAATCATTTTCCAATTGTAATTTTAGTGAATTTTTGTCTTTAAGAATAATCTCATTCTATGTTGGTAAATACTGTACAGTACAGCAGTACCACATTTTGACCAAATATCATGATCATTACGTATTGAAATTGTTTTGTTTTTTCGTATGTAAAATGAATCATAATGTCACAGAATATATGAGCTATGTCAGCAATTACTGTACGTACATAACTACTGTATATAACCTGCAGTAGTACCTGGTGTTGATGTGTTCAGTTGTGGCCATTGTATGTAAGATATATATAATGCAAAGGCCTTACCAAAGTTACTTTTTTGCATCATGTTTCTTCAGTACTTTGATGTCAGCCCAACAATACCCAGTGAATTTTTTTCTCTTTAATATAACCATAAACATTTGCTTCTGCATGTTAATTATGTTATCTTAGGGTATTCTTATAAGCTGTCAGGCAAACAGCTATAACAAGATGAGCCACACACCAACAAAATGGCTTACTGTATGTTATGTATAAGGATATTTAATGTGTTGCTTGTCTCTTAAAACAAAAAATTATCATTACAGAATAGATCAGTTGCTTGTATACATCAACATTTAGTGCCCTGTTATTTTACTTGCAGCAATTTTTGGCAAATTAGTTGCCTCTGCCAATTCTTGGAGGAAAATGATGTTTGGTACAAGAAAGATGATAATTCAAGTTATTAAATAATGAATGAGAACATTTCAATGAACATGCCAATATATAAATGTATTTATCCTATTATTTATACCATATGGAACTTTCATTTAGTACTTAGTGGAGATGAATGATTTGTGACTCCAAGTTAATGTACTGTAAATATTGTACATGTATAAGCTTTGTATGATGGTGGTGCACAAGTAATTGTTATACAAGGATCAACCCATAATTTTATCACCACATATATATATTGTATTTATCTCTTACCCCAGAGAATCTCTCCTGCTGGAGTTCTCAAGTGGAATTGTGTTAATTTCTCCATTTATAATTCCCACTTTTATTAATTTATAACAATACCACTTCTGTATTCTTGGATGCTTTATTCCATTGATATGTAAATAAGAAACCCAAATCCTTATAGATATTATGTCCAAGACAGATGACACTTATATAGCAGTAACTTACAGTGCACAACAATTTTTCAACATTCCCTGATGAATATATTTTACCCTCATGTACAACCCACACATTTTGTCCTCTTCCACACTTGGGTTTTGTTGGAAAAAGATTCTGATCTCAGTATAGTACAGTAGCTGTTTTATATTGAGTCTAAAAGAAACTTGGAAAACCTTCTGATTTAAGTTTTACATAAAAACTTTATTGAGATCTACTATAATTATGCCCAGTCATAGAAAATACACTGTACCAAGGATCAATATTGTAAAAAACGATTCCAGTGGCAAGGTGTTCAGGGCTCCTAGATCAGCATTGTAGGAGCCAACTCAAATTTTCTGGAGCGATGAGATTTTTGGGGCAATTATAGCTTCAAAAAGCCGTAAGTTGAACACACTTTTAGCAACTTGCCATTTGAGCAATTTCTTGTAATACTGTAGTTGTCAGGTCATAACTGATGACCAGAAATTGGTTACAGGTAATGAACTACAATACATGCCAATGATGACCACTTGTTACAAAATTGAGCCCTGTATAGTGATTACCTTATTTAAAACTTGTTATTTTCTTTGTATAAACATTGAGCTAATTCTTCTTATTTAACTAATATGATTGATTGGTTGATTAATGAAATTTAGGTTTAAAGCCAAGCACTGGAGATTTTACTAATATGCATTCTACTGAAAATAATATTGAGGCAAACATTATACAGTACAGTATGTAAATAGAATAAAGTTCTTAGAAATTATAATTTTTTTATTCAGGTACAGTAAAGCCTCGAATAACGACGGTAATGTGTCCTCCAATATTGCAGAGTAAGGTGAATCATCCTATCATGAATCATTAATTATCATTAAAATAAAGCAATAATAATGAGATGCGTTCCCCAGTGTGAACTTTTCATATCTTTTGTGTGGCTTTTTACCATCTTTTCCCCTAAAACAATACAATTAATGAAAATTGCAAACTATATTCTTTAAATAATGTTTCTGAATGCACCTTATACAATATAATGAATAATAATATGGTCACACAAGAGGAGATGGGATGCCATTGTTTTCGTTAGTGTTTACAGCCGGGAGCCCGGGATGATAGTTCTACACGAGAAAATGAAGAAAATAAGACCCTGGTTGTAGCTTTAGTAAAATTATGTAAAAAAATTAATAAATACGTTTTTAGTAATGTTATTTAATGTTAATAAATGGAACAATAGAAGTAGCTAACCACTAATGGCAAAGAAAAAAAAAGTGAGATGGATTGGGAACGCCAACATATTTGTGCGCATTTAAGGAAACCGCGCCATTTATCTTTTTAAGAATATGTACAAAAGAATCATTATTGTTTATTCCTGAATATGTATTTGATTGAATTAATCTTTATATATGCGAAATGAACAATACAATTCATTAATAATACGTAGAATATTAAAACACGCAAGAGGATAAGAGACGGCATTGTTGTCAGTGTTTACACCCATAATGTCAGTTATCCACCTGAAACTGAAGAAAATAAGACCCTGGTTGTTGTTAAAGCAGCAAAATTAATGTAAAAAAATATGTATGTTTTAGTTAATGTTTTTAATGTACAGTAGAAGTAACGATTGATATTAAAGAAAAAGTGAGACTGATAGTGGAACGCCAATGTATACGTGCGCACTCAAGGAAAAGTCATTTATCTTAAGAATATGTACAAAAGATTCATTATTGTTTATTACTGAATATGTATTTGATTGAATTAATGTTTATATACGTAAAATGAACAATGCAATTCATTAATAATACGTAGAATATTAAAACACACGAGGAGACAAGACGGTATTGTTTTCGTGAGTGACGATGGTTTTACATAAGAAACTGAAGAAATAAGACCCTGGTTGTAGCTGTAGTGAACTTAATGTAAAAAAATGGAATACCTGTATGTATGTTTTATTTAATGTTATTTAATGTTATTTAATGTTAATAAATGGAACCCTAGAAGTAGCTAACCGCTAATGGTAAAGAAATAAAGTTAGACAATTGGGAACGCCAACGTATGAACAGTAAGTGCGTACATGTGAAAACATATCGTCATTTCTCTACTTATGAATATGAAAGCAACACTTATTTACTGTTCATATATGTTTTGAATAATATTTACGAATGTAAAACAAAAATTCTACTCGCCAATTGCGGTAAAATCTAAAACATAAAGACAGCCAATGAATATTGTGTGAGTTTTTACTCAGGTGATGAAGTCATCAGGTTCAACTCTGGCTGAAGCTGTAGCTTTCCATAAAGCTGTTGCTGAAACTTACTGAACCTGAAGTTGATGTTGAAGCTGCTTATGATGCTGAAGTTGATGGTGTAGCTGAAGTTGATGGTTTAGGCCTTCGAATAATAAAGCTGTCTAAAGAACCTTGCACAGCTGCTTTCTTTTCTCATTATACATCTTTATGGAGAGGTCATTTGCGTTTATTTAAATTTTAATGCTGTGTTCTGTTAATGGATCCCCTTCAGAAAATATGTTCATTGCTTGCTCCATATAATATCCACAGACCTCTCGCCTTTTTCATATTGTTTTAACACCTCTAGTTTCTTGGCTAAGCTTAGACACTTTCTATTAGCTTTTGAAACAACACTACCATCACTTGCTCTCTTGCTCTTGTTGAATAGGGATGCAAAAATGCTGTAAGAAACCTGAGAAAGTTTTTCTCCAGTTCCTGTTCCAGATGCGTGAAAACAAAAGGCCCGCCAAGCTCTGACTGTTGTTTACCACTCCTTAGCAAGGCAGCTTCTTTGCTCAAGGCGCTCTTCATTTTTCTTTTTATAATACATATTGGGATTTAGTTATTATTTATATGAAAATGTAATTTTATTATATTTTGGTCGTAAATACGAATGAAATAAGGACGTAAATTGAGTTGGGTCCTAAATTAACCAGGGTCTTAAGTATGAAAAGTTGTTGGTCGAACCGTTGTTATCGGAGGCTTTACTGTACTCTTTTGATTATCTGTATACCTGTATTGACCCAATTAAATAATTGATAGAAAAGCTGTACTATGCATATTATGGTAATTGTATATAGTAACGAGTCTGGGTGTAGCTGGTGGGAGTCTACATGGGATGGTGCAAACCTCTTTTGACATACAGAAAGGAGTTCCATGATACTGTTTGGCCAAAGGAACTCTGTGATCATAATACCATAAGGGAAATACACAAGAATTAGGTACAGACAAAGATGCTATCATCAACATAATTATCTTGCCAGTAATGTATGCCATTTCTGTGTGCGTGTGTGTGTAGTGAAGTGTCCCAGCAAGGTGACACCATAATCAAATGCTGCCACTAACAGATGATAGGCTCAAATATGTCTTCCCAGTACACACTTGCTGTTCATTTGAAGATTTTGTGATTTTTGTTTGTAGTGTGGTGACTGGGTCTAACAAGAACACCAGCTGCAAATGTTATGGCCTGAGTCTCCATGAAGAACTTTGGTTGATTTTGAGTGCTGATTGATTATATTGTAAATAACCTTTGCACCACTTGTTAAGGTTAATTGGTAGGATTTCACGTATTTTCAGTGCCGCATGCAAGCTTTTTTTTCTTAACTGAATTTAGTTTATTAATTTCTGTAAGTGTAGGATGCTATAACTACTGTATAGCATGGCCAAGATGCCATATATAGATGCTCAGGTCAAACTGTATATTAGCCAGTACATGAGAATGTAAGCCTAAACTCTTGATACTTAACATATCCAAGCACACACACATGTAACTGAGACTTAGCAGAACAGGTTGAACCCATTCTTGGCCTCACTAGAATGCTTTGTCAGTTTTATTAGTAAAGGTACAGGTGAAATATTCAGCCCTCACTAGTGTCACCCCAGAGTTCAGGTGACATGAAAAATCAAAAGGGCAGTAAATTTCATTATTTTTAAGGTGCTTTATGTATACTACAGTATCTAAATCCCATGTAATCAGTTAATGAATTTACAAGGAATGTAAAAAAATATGAAAAATAAATCAAAAGAGATTTTATTATTTGTTTACCACTACTGTCTTGCGAGGAAGAGCTTCTGTAGTCTTATTACATTTCTACAGGACTGAGGACTGAACTGTGATGGGTATGTATGTACTGTATATAAGTGTAATGTATACATATCTACTTATAATTTTTAATTGTGCGAGTGTAGATTTGAGTCTCCTAATTATTGATGTGTGTAATGTGTTTGAGTAGGTATGTATTTGCAGTGTATATATATCTGTGTCTAACATTCTCAGTTTGTGTGACTATTTGACCATTTAGTTGCTTAATTATTGATATGTCTACTGTATGTGGGTTATTGTTTGTTTTCAAAAGTGTGCATTTACTTCCCAGTGTATTTTGTGTGTAGTTTTTGAGTATTGGAAATGTGTTTGATTGTGCAGGTTTTAAACTTGGCATATTTTTATAAGTATTAGTTTGACCGGCTTATATGGGGGGGGGGGGACTGGAAAAGTCAATGTCGGATTATCGAGGTACTGTACCAAACGTACCCTACTGTGCATAAGATATTCACCCGAGTTAGGTAATATATATATATATATTTATATACAGTCAACCCTCACTTTACGCGGTCCCACTTTACGCGTTTCCACGTTTACGCGGTACCCTGCCGAACACGGAATGCTCACTTTCCGCGGTGTGTGTACCCTTTTACGCGGAGAGCGGCGCGAGCAGGGTGCGCACAAGGTCGCCCAGTCATCAAAACATTACCAAGTTCTTCACCCGCCACCCACCACAGCCGGCCCAAGTCAGTGATAGTGAGGATATGGACTTCTATGGACTTTGAGGGGTTTGACAAAGAGGCCCCGCAAGCCTCTGTGGTGGATAGTGATACAATTGATACAAGTGATACAGGTGAGGGCCAATAATCTGCCCTCTGCCTCAGGACCAACCCCCCCATCCCCGTGTGCCCAGCCATCTTTTCTACAATGTAAGTGTTAAAAAACCTAATACCTGTATTATTGATATTTCTCTTAATTATTAATTGTGTGTGCATACCATCATAAAATTAAGAAGTTATTTTTACTACAACGTAGGTATTGTGTCTGAAAAAGTGGAGTTTGGGGGTCGGCCCGGTCTCTATTTCAATTAATCCCATATGTTATGTTGTTCACTTTACGCGTTTCTCACTTTACGCGGGCCGCCGTGGGTTCAATTGACCGCGTAAAGTGAGGGTTCACTGTATATGTAAGCATACAGGGTACAAATATATGTAAATATAAGTACAATATACTGTACAGTCAGTCCTCGACTTACGACGGGGTTAGGGACTGACGACCAGGTCGTAAGTCGAAAATGCAAAAATAATACATAGAAAATATAAAATAGGTGTCTTTTTTTCTTCTCAGCACCACGAGAACTCTCACTTTTACGCTTGCCAACCATTTTAAAGGGAATTACAAACGAAAATTTTGTAAGTACACAGCGCGATCACTAACGTCGGGACTCGAAAATACGTAATTTGAAATTTTTTTTATACGATTGTGGCGGTCATATGTCCGGGTGATCGTAAGTTGAGGAGTACCTGTATATTGTAATACAGAAATAACAATACGTACAGTACTGTACAATCATCTCACTCACTGTTCACTCGTTTTCTCTGTCGTAAACAAATGAACTTACTACAGTACAGGAGTACTTATTCTGAAGAAGACTCCACCTGGATTTGTGGTTGATGTGCTTAGGGGAACTTTGTCCGACTTTGATGTGCTGGGAGTGCTTACACCTGATGGTGTAGGTGTCCGACTAGGCCTTGGCTTGAAGTTGTGAATTTTCAATTGTGTAAGCTTCTTGTATGGCAGAATCTGGTGTAGAGTTGATATAATCTATTATTCCATCACAATATTCTCAGGCTGTAGATAATTTTATAGTCTTAATTTCTATCTCCTCTTCTTCAACTTCATCGTCAAGTAACATAACACTATCTGCTATTTCTTCACCTGTTAAAACTTGAAAGCCTGGATCACCCTCATCAGTTTCAAGTCATTCTTCAACATCTTTTTGTGTCACTTCAGTCTCACCTCCAGTTACTAGAGCATTGTGGTAATCACTTGCCTCAAAGCCTTCAAAATAAAAATCTTCATCAGTATCAATTAACAATTTCTTCCAACAGTTAGCTCACCACATGCTCGGCTGCTGCACTTGCAACACTGCCGCTTCCAACGCTACATTGCCATGTTTAACAGTCGCTAATACGGTAAACATCTGACCCACGGGTGGTGGGTCGGTTAAACGAGGGTTTACTGCATGTGCGAAATGGTGTTAAAACTCTTCCTCGTGGCTGGTCAAACTATGAGGGCATTGTGCTGCCTCTCTTCCATCTCAACTCTACAGGTTGCTCAAACGAAGTCACTGTTTAATACTACACTCCCTTGTTTTTTAGTTGGGAAATTTGGGGAAAGTTTTCACTCTTAATGTAGATGGCATAGGCCTTAGATGGCTCAGAACCATCATTCAGTCACTTATATGAGCTTAGAAAGGGAGAGAGTATTCCTGGGTGCACATGCCTTGGTACAGTACATATACGTACAGTAATATCTCTGTTAGTCGGAATCCCTCAAACCCGGAATTCTCCGATAACTGGAATTGAAATTTTCTCGGAAAATCGTTCCCAAACCCGGAAAATTCCGGAATTGGGGAGTTTTTCTGAGGGGCACATTTTCCGGAAAAATTCTGAGAAAATTTTCCCGGTACCCAGAAAATTCCGGGGCTGGGGGAGTATTTTCCGGGTTTGGGAGATGAAAATCGGGCACATTTTCTGTAAATTCCGAGAAAATTTTTCCGTTACCTGGAAAATTCCGGGGGAGGAGGAAATTTTTCCGGATTCGAGAGATGATGTAATGGGCAATTTCTGGAACTGAAGAGAAAATTTTACCTTGGATCCTGGAAGTGGTCTTTGCTGGAGTGGGTGATGGCCAGTTACAGTGGAGATGACATGGGTATGGAAGACGACTTTGGAGGTGACTTTGCTGGGAACTTCTCTAATTACTTGTTGCTGTCGACTGCACCATGGTCAGTCTTACGTTTCTTGGCACTCTGAGAACCATTAGAAAGTCCACTTTTATGCTTATCAGCCATGGATGGGGTTAAAAAAGGCAACAGTAGACAATGCACGGTCTTGTCAACAACAAATAATGGGGACCGATGCTCACTGAGGTGGCAAAAACTATGTTCTTCATAAACGTGCTCAGTTGTTTGTTTGTAACCGGAGAAAGCGTTCGTATCCCGACATCAGCTCCCGGCAAATTTGTCACAGCCTTTTGGGAAGTTCATTAATAAAGTTGAATGTTTGCAAGCGGAATGTCCATAACCCGAGGGTCACTGGTATAGTTAAGTAACACTTAGGTAGCAGGGGCACATATTCAGGGTGTGCTCCGCACACCCACAGAAGTCATGAAATAATGATTTAATACTTTTATTTAATGTAAATAAATATACATGACATTTTACATGTATTAACAGTGTTAACCTCAACTGTTGTTTCTTGGCTTTCCCGTTGGCGCTCTATTAGCTGCAGAGCCTGCAGTTGAGTGGAGCTGTCACCGCACACTTTGGGTAGTTGTACCAGATGGGGGTACCGAGGCAGGGAGAGACAGGGTTTATAGCAAGTGAAGTCGAGCGGCCAGCCAGTAGCAACCAGCGGAGGAAGTGTTGCTCTGTATTTCGTTTCCGTTTACTGTGAATGTGAAAATATATTTCTTTCCTTTGATTTACAAAGTGTTTAAAGCTCATTGTGCAATTTAATTTAGATACTTTAACATAATTTTCACCCTTGTTACACAATGGGAAATACTGTTGAAAAGGATTTACTCACGGAATTAAGACAAAGGCTCATTTTTGATGACGTTATAATGCAGTTTACATCGCCAAAAAGAATAGAATTACTGTATAAATAAAATGGGTAAGTAAAATTTATTTTTGTTTAAATTGCACTGCTGATATATGTACACTTCCACAATAATTTTCTTCTATTTTGCATTTCTCTGTGCTGTTTATATGCATAGTATACTACCTTTTATAAGTATGTAATTTACTTTATACAACTTAAAGTTTAGTCTTTACCTTATTATAATGCTCAGCACACCCTATTTCAATACCCACCACATGCCACTGGTAGGTAGTATTTGCAGCCTGGTAGTGTGTGTCAGACTAAGGATATACTGTACCCACTGCTTTGGGCTCAAGTGCAGTATTGGCTACTCATCAGAAATACTGGACAGCTTTTATACAATGATTATTACTTGTACAGTATATATTGTATCGGGTATTTCATTCTGGAAAATTTATTGATCCGGGTGTTACTCATTTTTGTTGAACATTCCTTCTGCTTTTTACAGTACAATATATGGAGGAACTGGAAATAATATTTTATGGATAATTTGAAAATGTAATAACAGCACTATATTGACTATAACCTATGGTCCTCCTCACACTGCTGAAGAGGATGATAGTTACAGTCAAGATATACAGTGCTCATTTTTCCTTGTTTTATCTTCTACAGAATTTCTTCAGTTGTGTAATGATAATGAATACAGTACAATAATTTAAGGTTCTGTGTTATATTAAAATCGGTGTATCAAATTATGCTATTTTGAGGGCCGACTATTCACATGAACTCTGAATCTTAAAATATTTTTTCATCTCTTTGGTAAATGTCATTTACAGTACAGTAGTTTCAAACCTGTGTAACACTTACCTTATCTATTTTATACCAAATAAAAAATTCCAAATTTATAAGAATATCAATACCGGTATGTATTATCTAGAAATTTGTTTACAAACATCAAACGAAACCAAACACGTCTCGCAATACACGAAAAGGAAGACTTGTTTATAAAAGTACAGATTCTCAAAATATATTTATTTTGCAAGGTAATGTGTTGCCTTTATGAGCTGTAAAACTTACACTACTTCAAATTTACATAAATGGTTTTGTTTAAAATGTGTTTATTTAAATTACAAAATCTAATTAAAATAAACATATTGCAGAGTTGAAATTTTAGTAAAAAGAGTTTAATGTAACATCTGCACTAATGAACATGAGACGACACAGTGAGTGGCCTCCTCTCTCTCTCTCACACACTGGAGACCACCCCAGCATATATATGGCAGGCACACACTTCCTTCCACAGTGAGCCAGTCCTCAAGAGGCTTTCAGCTAACTGCTTCATCCTTTGTAGTCATGCCACCAGGACTGTCACCACCATATCTGTTTCATTATATGTCAATTAGTTTTAGGAAAAATAACATAACACATCTATCACATGTTTCAGTGTACTGGCAGTCCAACTACATGTACCCCTACTATATAGTATATGTATTTCTGTAGATAAGATTCATAAATTAGTAAAAACTTTTCACTATGCACTACATATTTTCATTGATCTGTATTTCTACCTGTATTCCAAATTTCATAAGCTACCTCTGACCGCACCTCTCCATTAAATAGGATTCAGTACGCACGAGGTCAGGGATCTGTCCTTCATATCAAGTGATACAGTGACTTCTGTTGTTGGTAATTTTCTTAAAACTAACCCCAAACCTTACAATAGGAGTGGAAAATGACCATCTACTCCAGCAAACATTCCTGCTAAGATATTGTCAAGCTTACATTGGGGATGTTCAGTTGGTATTTCTGGTGCACTTGGGTTACCTCTGTCAACTGTGTAAACCAATATATTAGCAGTAATTTTCTGTTTTGAAGAAACAAAAGTACTGTAATTATGCTGAAAGATCATCCAAATATGGAGTGCAGCACAAATGATGGTCATGCACTGGAGGATGTAAAGGTAGTTCATTGAAACAAAACTATTCCAACTTCTCTTCACACTTTCAAGCCTTGTTCTTAATCCACTTTCTCTGAAGTGACTCCATCAACTAGCCGATAAAATTCAAAAGTTCAGTCACCAACTTCAGATGAAGTGGCCGAGTCCTGCCTCCATGATGAGGTAACCCACCACCCCCACATCTCTGGTCTTGACACACTATCTTCACTCCAATTTTGACGAGTCCTAACTTACTTTTTTGTTTTAATGTATCCATTTAATTACAGGTTACCCGCGAGTTACGACGTCTCATATTAAAATCATTCACTTTAACGAAGTAGTCATACTTATACCCTATCCCCAAGTTACAATTGGTCTCTCCCGGATTAATGACCGCCCCCTACAATCAGTTGTCTCCGCCTGCACACTGATGATCATCTCTCGTCATCTCTCAACGTGTCAACTTCGGGCCCCAACCGTCACTATTTCTTGTCCATATTCAAATGGTCAGTTTGAGAATGCGAAATATTCATCAAGGTAACTTGGTAGGATCATCACGTGGAGTAGATCGGTGCATTTTAATTTTACAGTATTTTTCTTTATAAAATTTTTCAGTGTATTTTCCATTTATCTATGTTTCCAATAATGTGTCTATTATAAGCTTCCTATACAGTATACCCATTAAATGCCAATGTTGGATTTTATTTATTTATTTTTAAGGGCTTGCAAATTTTAATTTGTACAAGTCCTGCTTGTGTTAGGGTTAACGAAGATTTTACAGCCTTATTATGGAAGGGGAGAACACATCTATAAAACTTATAACCTACAATATTTAGAAATATTTTATAAGCCATACCAGAGATGAGAGGGGCCCAGGTATGTAACTATTTAGTCGCCCAGGGCATCATGGACAGCATCGGCGATCTTGTTATACTTCTTCTCATTGTCGACATAACCGTCACCACCCTGGGCAAAAAGAATAACATTCATCACCAAGAAAAGAGAGGCTGTAGAGGTCCAGTGCATTAAATGATAATGTTCTCATCTTTTGTGTTGGATACAGCGTTCGCCTCCTGTTCAAGGGGTCGGTAGTTTGATTCTAGAGTACAATACTGTACTCCCAGCTGTAAATGGATACCTAAATTTACAACTTGGGAAAGTGTAGTGTAGTACCGGCAATACTGCCTCCATGTGTACCGGAAGGCTTAGTATACAGTGTGCCGTATCCTCAATGTCCCTAATGGGCAGTCATGCCAACCCTCTTTCAATTTTCACCTGTCAATATCTAACTTCTTAAAACCTCAACTGATGGCTGGAACAAGACTCAACATTATATCTCGCAGAAAATGTTGGGGGATTTATTATAACTATAGTGTGTGTATTTGTATTAACGTTAAAAGGAATAATATGTTTGAGATAAAATGTTCCCGATGATCTATGTACAGTCGGCCACAAGAATAAGTATACACCAACGGTTCGTGTTTGAGACAAAATATCTGGTAACACTGTCCTGAACAGAACAGACAAAATGACCTGTAATTTATGTTTTATTCCTACATATACGTTATTTGTGAATGTTTTACTAGTGACTTGTGTTTGTATTACAAGTAATATATTGTATCAATGGTAGTAAACTTGTTGCCGAATGGGATTGCAGTTATCGTACAGCTCCCTCCTCCTCCCCCACTTTTTGTCTTACCCTACTTTTTTTTACTGATGTTTTGATTAGTAAAGGAAGGAAGAGGAGAAAGTAGAAGAATAAAGAAAGAGAAACAGAAAATAGTTAGAGATAACAGGTGGGAGGGAGCCGAGTTTCATCAAGAGTCTGGATGCACAGTTTCAACATTACCAGACCATTTCTGGACCTTAAGGCTACAGTGTGTATACTTATTCCTGTACAGTATAGTATATGTAAATTAATTCACCACTTTTTTTTTATCAAACAATTCTCATACTAAAACTAGCAAAGGCTATTTCATGACTATTAATTTGTGGATAAGAACCAGTTCTTAATGGCGACAGAACAACACTGAATTACAGCCTGAAAATCAAAATGGTAATGAATACAGTACTGTGGACATTTGATCACCGGTCTACTGAATACGGTGTTATAATTACTATTCTTACATAATAATGTCTTTATTTTGCAGGCAATGAAGCCATGGTCAGGTTAGGTGACAAAATGTCCTTGAACCACACACACAAACAACCATATAAGTGATGTCAGTATAGTACATACAGTACAGTATATGGGGAGAGTACAGTACAGTAATTACCTTCTTTGTGTGAACAAGTTTGTCTCCAACAGTGACTTCAAAGTAGCCAGTCATTTGAGGTGTTCCTTCACTAGCCTGTAAATACAAAATAAAGATTTAACATGTATTTATCATCACTTAAATGGTTTTAAAGAATATATATCCCCACTTCCCAGTACAGTACCATACAGTGGCGGACTGGCCCAGCGGGAAACCGAGAAATTTCCCGGTGGGCCCCAAAGTGATAGCTCCTTTGACTACGTTTTGGGATTAAGTGGGCCCTTTTGGACCCTTTTGAATGGGCCCCTTTACAAGTTTTCCCGTTAAGAAATTTATGACTCAGTCCACCACTGGTGCCATACATAGTTTGCCCTATGACAGAATAATTCAATTGCATTCTCTGTCTCATTAAAGAGATTGTTACAATATTATAGACTTAAAGAACAACTGTCAACTTGGGTAGACTGTACTGTATGTTATTTCACCACCACCTATCAGTTAGTACTGTATTGTGTAAATCTCCCCATACAACTAATGATGGAGGCATTATTATTAACGGGAGTGCAGTAATTATTAAAATATGGCAAAAATATAAAACTGTTACTGATACATTAAAAAGTTTTAAGACTCACAATATCCAGCTGATCAGGAAATTCAGATTCAAGTTGCTGTTTCAGCGCCCTGAACTTGGAGGCGTAGCCTCAGGCACCGCTGTAAGCAAAAAAGTATTAGTTCACTTACTTAATTACTGTACCCTCTGTGCCACTGATCGGCTCACTAGCTGTTAGGGCTGTCGGTCACTTCTGTTACACACTCCTGGCAAGTATTGGGCATGTCTCCGCTACACACTGTTGACAAGTACAGTATTGGGCATGTATGGACTCTTGAATGCATAGTACCTGAACCATGTTACTTTTTTTACTTTACCTTTATCCTCTTCACCACTGATCAACTTGTTAGCCTCTTGGGCGATCGGTCACGTGTTATGCACTGTTGGCATGCACTGGCTCCTGAATGTATCCAATGCTTGTCAAGTCTTGTCTTGAAAGAGCTCACACTCGGTGCCGTCACAACACACTCTGGTAGATTGTTCCAAGAGTTCACAACTCTCACTCCAAAAAAGTTTGCCCTCACAGTTTTCTGGACTTGCGGCTTCTTCAACCTTGAGCTGTGACCCCTTGTGGGGCGAGCGTCCGCCAGCTTCAAGTAAGGACACTTGACTGAGTAGTGCCCCCTGATATGTTTATACAACTCAATTAGGTTCCCCCCTTGCCCGTCTGTAGTATAAAATAGGCAATTGCAGGTGCACTAATCTCTCTGAGTAGTTGATGAGCCAAAGTGCCATTACCAGTCTGGTGGCTCTCCTCGGGATATTTTCAAACAACTGACAGTCCCTAGCATATCTTGGGGACCAGACAGGGTTACAGTACTCTAGGCCGGGAAGCACCTCGCTCTTGAAGATTGTTACGAGGGACGGACCGACCTTCTCATAAGACCTATTTTTTATATTGGTCACTCGAGGTCTACTACACTCTTTGATGAAAGGCTGTGATCACTAAGGTATCGAGTACTACTATAGCGTGCAGTCTACAAGATGGTTAGGTTAAGTTAGGTCAGGCCAAGTTAGATTAGGATAGGCCTAGGTCAGGTAAGGATATGTTAGATCAGGTCAAGTTAGTAAGATTAGGTTAAGTTAGACTAAAGTTATCTTTGTAGAATGTACGCTATAGTAGCACCAGATACTCTATGGATAACTTGAGTACTACCTGTATATGCCTCTTCTACTGTCGTGTAGTGTATTCAATCTTCTGTTAAGAGGACTTGAAGAGGCAGAGGATCAAGAGTACTGGGGTAGATGACTCGTGTACCTACTGAAATAATTACTGTACAGGCATTCAATGCATGAAGGGTAAGCTGAAGTAACTTGGTGTAGAAATAAAAAAGATACTTACCGTATAGAACGAAGATAAATTAACTTTTTTTCTCTTATAAATAATAATTTACTTACAGAAACATATTAACCACTGAGCCAGCCAAAACATTACTGAATTGATGATGATAATAATAATAATAATAATTGGTAGTCTTTTGTTTCTCAAAAGCGCCAGTTCTAAAGAATTCACCAGCGCTCGAAAAGCTACCAAGTCAAAGATTTGATAATAAAACGTAATAAAAGATCACAAAAAGTGGTCAGTTACTGGTTCAAGATGATATCACAGACTCGGGTACAGAAATTTGCCAAGAGTTAAATTCTTTGGAGTAAAATATGTGAATTCTTGGAGTACAATAAATGCCAGAGAATGTTGTGGCGGCGCCGAGGGCTCTGCTGTAGGCTCTACCAACACTGGCACAGTGAAGAGTCCACACATATCCAGTCCTGTACATGCTAAGTGTGTATCAGTGAACAGACCGACTGCCTGACCTGCTAGTGAGCTGACCATGGGTGATGAATATAATGAAGTAAGTAAAGTATTCTTGAACTTTTCGAGTTGTGTATTGGTTCACCATACACACAATGGCTAACAGTCAGTTGAATTAACCCACGAAACATGTTAAAAGCTTATTATTACTCACGAAATATATTAAAGCTTATTATTACTAATGAAATGTTATAAACTTATTATTACTCCTGAAATGTTATAAACTTATTATTACCCACGAAATATGTTACAGCGTATTATTACTCACGAAATGTTAAAATCTTATATTTACCCACGAAAGATGTTAAAAAGCTTATTATTACAATTATGACGCCTATTTTACCAAGTGTTCATTAATCAATACGTAGCTACCCAAGATGTGAGAATCGGGGCCTCAATCCCCCACCATACAGTTCACATACATACACTCCATATAATAACAGGAGATATTTTATAAAGCTATTATTACACTGCTAAGTTTAGAGTCTAAACTTTACACAGACCGACATGCAGACAATAATACATTTCTGTTATGTAATAGTCAAACACAAGCTCATGACCTAGTCTAAACTACTATGGATTTCCTCACTTATATACCATCTAAAACCTCATCTAATGCTGCGGTTATTGTAGAAGACGGACAATAATCTTATCACTCACCAATACACCACTTTGATCTTGAGTTTAGCCATGGCTGATGAAAAGCCTCGATAGACAAGGTGATACAGCTTTCCCCTTTAGTAGGACTGGGCTACTGGTGTGACTGGCCGGGGCTTCACGTGTTTATATGCCAGGCAATGTAAATAATGTTGAAGGTATACCACGACGAAGACTAAAGTATTATTGTAGAGAGATATAGTGACAGATAATCATTAAAATATATGGTTTATATTTGTTCAAAGTATAGGTAAATGAGCAATGATATACAGAAAGCCGATTAAACCAAGGATAAGACATGAAAGCTGGGAGAGGGAAACACTGATAGATTTTGTATCTATTTTAAAGTAAATAAGTCACTCACCTTAATTTAAACTAACAAATAAATCTTATAATGTTTTTAATTAGATCAGAATTTCTTTAGGTAGTTAATATAGCCAGACAAAATAATTTTACAATGTTCGTATATATTTTTAACATTAGTGATTACCTCACACGAGTTGCCACCTCAGCCATTTTATTTTAGGTTATGTATATTTTGTCTTCTCATCCTGGTCACGGCACCAAGCCCCCTCGGGGGCAAATCTGAAATCTATATTTTGTCTTTATTTCACACATCTCTACAAAGGTTTTATTCTTAATGAGGCCAACTTCAATTTCGAATAATAATACTCAATGAATGAATATTAAAACCTACTATAATGCTTTAATACCTCGAGGATATTCATTAAAATCTCAGGTGTTACGGGTCATTACAAAATTACGTAACGCAGACGGGAGTGGGGGGGGAGGTTGTGAGCTAGGTGTTAGTGAGTTACAGGGGGGTGGGGGTGTCAGAAGAAGTCGTATGTAACAGTAAAAAAAATAAAGAAGCCGAAATAATACAGATGTAATCTTTGGAAGTCCTTAATACAGTACTGAGTTATTTTTATACATTGTCAAATATATGCATATTCTTTTTTTTATAAACGTGAAAGCTTGTAATACAACGTTAATAATAAGAGCAAATATGTTTTATGTAATATATTCCTGATATATTGTTTGCATGTCAAAAAAAATATATATATATTTCTGAAAACTCAGTTCTCAGTGTAAATATTTAAGTGTCCAGCAGGGGTGGTTCATGTGTCACCCCTGCTGGGTGTTGTCCCAAATCTAACAGTCTTCCTGCCACACTGGTTCTCTACTCTGTACAGTCATGATTGGTGTTCCTTTGTTAGCCTTGATCTCAGTTGGCATTTCAAGTCCCTCAGTATCCATTTCTTCCTCCATGTGCCACTCATACTCTTCTTTTTCCAGGTACTAGACAACACACATGAATTCCCTTGCTAGTCTTTGAGGTCGCAGCCTTTCTGTTGGAGCACTCACACCAGACTGTCTACTGCGACTCGAGCAGTGCTTCTTAATATGTGAAGTCATGGATTTGACTGAGGCAAAGTATTTGCCACATGTTCCACAGATGCGCTTCTGTAGCTCATTCTTACTTTAACTTTTTACTTTTATCCTCTTCGCCACTGATCGGCTCGTTAGCCGCTTGGGCGATCGGTCACGTCTCTGTTACGCACTGTTGGCAAGTACTGGGCATGCACTGGCTCCTGAATGTACCTGAACCTGCTCCAGTGTTGGTCAAGTCTGGTCTTGAAAGAGCTCACACTCGGTGCCGTCACAACACTTTCTGGTAGATTGTTCCAAGAGTTCACAACTCTCACTCTGAAAAAGTTTGCCCTCACAGTTTTCTGGACTTGCAGCTTCTTCAATCTTGAGCTGTGACCCCTTGTGGGGCGAGCGTCCGCCAGCTCCAAGTAAGGACACTCGACTGAGTAGTGCCCCTTGAGATGCTTATACACCTCAATTAGGTCACTCCTTGCCCGTCTGTAGTATAAGCTAGGCAAGTTCAGGCGCTCCAATCTCTCAGGGTGGTTGAGGTGCCGAAGTGCAGGCTCCAGTCTGGTGGCCCTCCTTTGAACATTTTCAACCAACTGACAGTCCCTAGCATATCTTGGGGACCAGAGCGGGGTGACAGTACTCCAAATGGGGAAGCACTCCACTCTTGAAGATCGTTACGAGGGACGATAATTTATTTGCCTGATTTACCTTCTTCTCGCAATGGTCCGAAAACTTCAGCGCATTGTCAACATACACACTTAGGTCCTTCTCACATTCAGTCTCAAATAGTGCAGTTTCTTCATCCCGTTGGGACATATGATACGCCTCCTTACCGTTGGTACGCCCCAGGTGCATCCTCTTACACTTCGTGACATTGAATCTCAGCTGCCATTTCTTCGACCATTCTTGGAGCTCACAGAACTACTCATAATCATATCGGAAGGTTCTTGATTTGAAATAACTGCGTCAGCAGCAAAGATTTGTCCAGTATAGATTGAATAAAGAGCGATGTATTTATCAAACAAACAAACAACACAATAACCAGCCATCCTGTCCGTACAGGGGTAAGATGATGATTTGTGAATAACCACCTCATACTCATTTCATCAGCAAACTATCGCTAGGGATTTATTATTATTATTGATTTTTACTTTTCAGGGTATACTTCTCAAGCTGCAAGTAAATCTCGGTGATATTGTCGATCTTATAGTTCCAGGATATGTGTTTAAATATCTAATAGCTTGAGCTGTTGTACATGGTGAGGGCAGGTTAAAAGTGTTTAAAATCATGTTATTTTTGGCTATCACTAGATAAAATTTACATAAAGCATAAATCGTAAATTAAATTTAAGATATTTTTATGGCAAAGTTATGTAACATTAATATATATGGTATAATTGTATATAAAATTCTAATATCATTTCAGGGAGGAAATAGCTGAGGAAATCAGTATTAATTCAATATATTAAAACCAAATTTACGGGAATGTTGGAGTTGTGGGGTAATAGATGTTTGGTTCACACTCAGGATGGGATGGAGAAAGGAAACTCACAATGTGCTCTCTTTATACATTGTATTGATGTACAATGCAGCTTGGTGCTGGAAGTGGCAGCATGGTTACAAGCGTGATGTAGAGAGAGCTGTTGGGAGGATGCTCAGAGAAGGACCAGCTTGTGGGTCGCCATGCTCGCCGGCGGGAGCGAGGGCCGCCAGGCAGGCGGAGGAGGTGGTGTTG